AAATTTGGGGTCACAGGAGTCAACACAAGGACGGACCACATCAATCAGAAGAAGATGGATCGGGGATTCAATGCGCTTTTAAAAGAGCTCCCGTTCCAGCGCACTTCTGTTTTGAATAAGAGCATGTCAATTTGTATAGTTAATGTGTTATACTATAGTACACTTATTGTAGTATGTAATTTTTAATTTTTACTGTCAGTGGTTGCTATGTGGCCCAGCCGGTCTAATTTAGATGATGAGAGTGAGAAATATTTGTGCTCGATAAATTTAATATCACTTTTGACGAATGTTGAGTCTCGGGCACCAAATTCGAAGGGAGGGAGGACAATCTCCATAAGAAAAAACTCTACGATGTGACTCCTTATGGATGAGAGGGAACGAGGAAAGAGGAAATGTTAGTCTGGTGACTTCAGGCCTTCCACCGGAAATGATTTTTATCTTGCCACAGTTACAAATTTTTACTTCAACAATTAGTATCTAATATTTGGTGTTTTGCGGCGTTTTCATGGAAGCTTTCATGGAAATTGAGCGGATGTTTGTTGACGCATAGCTTCGGAGCTGAACCTACTAAGTGGAGCTTTTTGTGGAAGAGAAGCGGCAAACGGAGAAGTACGAGCTAAACGGAGATGACTCGAGTATACTTTTTTGAAAGCTTGAGACACTACGTGGCTCGTACTCGCCGCCATTTTGCTTGCGGACATCTTTAAAGAACTTGCCAACTTGGAACTTGGAGCTTGTTGAGAGCAGCAGCAGGTATGTTCATAACATTAAAATTTCCATCGACCTACTATTCGTTAAACCCTTCAAACTTTTTCCACTCGTATTTCGTGTTTTTCATAATGTCTAACGACCTTCGGCAGCGATGTATGATCTTTCTTTAATGAGGATGCTCCACTCATGCAAACATGATTTTCAGGGAGGTCCTAGCTAAATGTCAAAAATATAAATAAATAAATGATGAGGATATCTAATATTATATATAATAGATTGTGAAATATAACAAAGGTATATGTGAAATAAAAAAATGTAATGCAGATAATAAGAAAAAATCTCAACAATTGATTTCTTAAAGGAAATGAAGTTGTCAGCGTTTCTGGTTTCCAAGTCGATGGTGTTCCATCCTTTCCACTTTGTGGGAGAGTTTTGAAAAAACCCCAGTTTGTCTTAGATAATTCAAATGCAAGGTTTTGTTTGTCTCTAGTATTGTAATAATGTCTATTTTTAAATGATTTAAAACCAAAATCAAACTCAATGAGGTTGTTCAGGCATTTGTAAACAAAAATACATCGGTCGATAGTTCTCTTTTTGACTAAAGTTAACCAGTTGAGATCTTTCAAAGCTTGTGTAGCAGAATCTCTTAAGTCTCTGCCAAGGATTATCTTCGCAGCTCTGTTTTGAAGTATTTGAAGAGTGTCCATGTGAACTGTATTTCTTTCGTCTCCCCTCACAATACTATTGTATTCAAAAATGGCTTTATCATGGTGTTATAGAAAGTTAGTCTTGCAGATAGAGGTAGCACGGTTTTTTTGCCAGATTTAAAGAGGGCCACGACCTTAGCACGTTTCCATGGTGACGAAAATTCGAGAGATGTAATTGACTTGTTGAAGAGACTGGCCAACACTGGTGCCAAGATTGTAGCTCCACTTTTGAGAAGTCTTGTGCTGACATTGTCAAGGCGAATGGCTTTGTTTGGCTTAAGATATGAAAGTTGATTTAGAACAAAGTCTTGACGGATATTTTGAAGCTGAAAAATTGATGTACAAGTTGACGATCTCTGCGGGGAGAAGCAAGCAATAGTGGGATTAAAACGTGCTGCCAATGTGCGCCCAATACTGGTAAAGAATTCATTAAGGCATTTGGCTCTGGCCTTTGGTTCGGTGATAGAGACTTCATCTCTCATTAAGACAGCGGAGCCAGAGCTTTTGTCATTCGACTTCGAGGGAAATATTTTCTTCAAGTGATTCCACATTTCCTTCGAATTTCCTTTAGCTTGTTCAATAAGTTGTGTGAAATAAGTCAATTTCGCTTTGCTCGTGTCTCTGTTGACTTTCTTCCGTAGTGATGAGGCGAATTTGATTTGATAGCTTTGCGGTGATGGAAATCTCGCTTGTGCGTGGTAGACAAAATATCTTGGTTCATCCATGGACAGGGAGTACCTTTTACTTGGCAACTTTTGATTGGAGCATGAACGTTTGCAACTTCAGTAAATAGGTATTCCAAGCAGAAACAGCATCATCAATATTATCAAATGAATCGAGTACAGACCAAGGTATTTGATTGAGGTTTTTGGTGAATTTGTTTTGATCGAATGTTTTGAAAGAGCGGTAGTCAATTACTTTTGGAGGACTCTTGGGAATACCAGATTTCACAACACAGTAGACAAGGAAGTGGTCACTAAGGTTCAGTTGTAGAACACCAGATTGAACAATGCGATGACTATTGTTCACAAATAATAAGTCAATCAATGAACGAGAGTTTTCAGTGACACGTGTAAACTCCTTTATAATCTGTGAGACCAAATTGACTTGCAAATTGTTCTAAAAGACGACGATTTTGGTTTCTTTGTTTAATATAGTCAATATTGAAGTCTCCAAGAAGACAGATATCATTACGATATGCAATTTCGAAGGTTGACATATTAGATTTCAAACTATCGATAAATAAATCAACCCTATGCTGCTCTAGTCTGTACACGCAGCAAACATACAGCGGTTTGCAATTTGTTCTATTAATTTTGATCCCTAAGCATTCTGAATCGGTTGAACCGGTGTTTTCTAGAGTTTCAAAGGGGAGGCCATTGCGAATATAAATAAGTGTACCGCCGCCACACAATTTTTCGTCGTTAGAACGATCTTTTCTGCAGATTGAGTAGCCTTCAATGTTGATTTCACTGTCGAAGACATCAGATTTCAACCAGGTTTCGGATATTGCCAGGATGTCGAAACGAAAGTGATCAAGCAAAGAGCGAATGCCATCGAGTTTGTTGTATAGCCGGTTGATGTTAATATGTCCAATCTTGAGGCCACGATTGAGTTTTATCTCAAGAAAAGGGAAATTCACAGGAGATGGAACATCATCGGGTCTGCAGTATGAGCAATTCTAGCTAATATAAGTGTCAGAAAGTTCAGAATAATCGTTAGAAGACGTATCAAGGCATTTCGCATGAAACCAGTAATCGCAGCTGTCACTTTGGATCGCTCGTTGATTTGATCGCAGCTGTCACATTGGATCGCTCGTTGATTTGAACGACAACCTTTGCTACAAATTCTACAGGGATCTTCAACCGGTCCAGGATTGATTTCGAGATCTCCAGATAAGTAGAGAAGATGCATGGCAACCCTAGCCTGCTTGAAAAGAAGAAACCATGATTTGAATGAAGATGACAATGGCGTCGGCTTTGACTTCAGTCGTTTCGAACGTGAACCAAATCCATCAAAATTCGGTGTAGAAGACAATTTTCCAGCATAAAAAATGTTGGCCTTCGTTATAGAAAGATCGCTAGAAACACTTTTGCTGTTTAGTTTAAGAAATAGTAACACAATAACTAGAAGAGAACGGAGCACATAAAATTTACGACCGACCGCCATAATTACTCGCTAAAATGATGAAATAAAATCATCTGGTTCTCGAATCGAGTTGTAGCTAGTTGTCTTCGTCGGCACACTTTTCCTTAAAACGTTTTTCAAATTTGACTTCAAGAAACATTTTGGCGATCAAAACAAACTTTTGAATTTAGTGGGCCGTACAGTGAAATACGGACTAATCTTAGCGCACTTACTAACTGAGAGACATAACTGAAGACATTGATTTAAAAGGTTAAAAAAATAGTTTGTTAAGAGGCTTTATATGTAAAGAACGATTGAGTGGCAGTTTTGTCAACTGGATACGGATAATCGTTGCTTTTAGAGGTTTTGTATCCATATGTTGTTGAGGCAAAGGGATGCAGCCTGCACTTCTCCCAACCACGATTTGTAAGTCGTTAATCCAACTGTTTCCCCGTTAAACGCCTTAATAGACAACCATAAAGTTTCAAGCTTAAGAAATAATAGGGTATGAGCAACGAAGTTAGGGGTTAGAGAGGCCTTTTATTAAAAGGTTAGAAAGCAAATAGGTGACTTCAGAGACGTCACCAGAACCGGATGTTTACTGATTCGAACCAAAGTAAATCAAGAACAAGAGTTGCAAGAGTTTAGAATCTCTTGTATCGAATCACCACCGTAAGAACTAAAATGAAAGGTGCAGAGGAATTTCTAACAAGGTCTAGAAATACCGAACTACAAATACACTTCAGGTGTTTCGAAAGTCGCATAAAAAAAAACACACTTGAAAGAAAATAACGATAAACGATTTGGTGTACAGCCTCCTTCGAAAAATCTTTAATCTTTAGGTTCAGACCGTGTCAGCGAGGAAATTGTACAACGAAAATAATGTTATAAAGTGCGTAATTAAATATGCCGATCAAGCGTAAAAAAATTATTTGTGTAGGTTAATTTCGCTTTATCCTTCGTGTTAGTATTGACGAAATATTTTACTCACGAGCCCCTGTAATCGAGTCTCCCATATTTTTGGAGTCATGTGACCAGCCGTAACCGAGTACTTTCGCTAGGGAGGAAAGAAGAGGACCCTGGGAGCCAGGTTACATCAGACACTCCATGAATGTTTCTTCGATAGAATTTGGAAAAAAAATTATCTCGACCAATGTCGGCTTGTGAAAAGATAATGGATCTTTCTCTTACTTGTGTTTTTCGAATGGTTTTAGTCACACTTTTATTCTGTTCCGGAATTCAGAAGTCAGGTAATGTTCATCGAGTTATGGTTATAGAGATTCTAGTTTTGTTCACAATTTGAGATAAAGCTATTAAAATAATTCCACATGTCTAAAAACATCCTTAAATATTCATGTACATGAAATTAGAAGTTATTGAAGTTACGTCTGATGTGTTGATGTTTAGTATGATGTTTTCTGTTTTCCCTCTTCAGAGTCCGCATTCAGAATCCGCCAGAAACCTTCCAATCCTACTACTGTGGTGCTTGGAGTAAACAGCCACCGAGTCAGACTTGAGTGGCGGTATTCTGATGCACCTAGTCAGTATTTGGTTCAGTTTTACAGACAGAAACCTGGTGAAACAATGGAACAAATATCATCAAGCAGGGATGGGAATGCGTTCGACCCGAGCAACACAAATGAATTCGATGCCTCGCTGGACGCAACACTGACACTGAAGAACGTGAAGAGAAATGAGGAATACACTTACTCTATCTATTTGCTGGATTCTAGGGCCAGAGTGGTAGAGACACACGCAGTTTCTATTAATGTCGTCGGTAAGTGAAGCTGTTTCATAAGTTGCTTTGATACACTTTGTCTTATATCAGCATCCATCTCTCAGTTTGCGTGAAATACGAGGTTTTTCATTTGAAACTCCAGGGTTTAAATTTTCGGTAGAGAAATGTCATAATGCACACAGAAACTTAAATTATCACTACACCGTCTTTCGATTAAGCACAGCTAGTGTCTCGAGTTTCTTGTTGCATTTTAGCGGCGATCAATAGAGCCATCCTTTTATGTAGTACAAGCAATGCTGGAATGCTTACGAATTGGTCGTTATGTTACATTTTAGTTTTCGGCTGCTTTAACTTGTTTCTTTGATAAATATTAATAATTCAGCTTTCGCTTGGGTTATATGTAAATGTGTTCTGTGTTATCAATATTACTCAGGCGTGCAAAAAATGTTCGTAGTGCAGCAATTCACGTAGAGAAAGACTTCTTGATAACCTTCAGCGTTGTCCCTTCTTTTAACTCCAAGGCGCCAACGACTTTCTTTTCCTTTATAACACTCACGATGTTCTCGTTTTCCCATAGAACCACAATAAAACCCATATTTAGAAATGTTATATTAAGCAAAACAGTTGAGAAAAGAAATAACTTAACACACGAGCGATCAACCGATGAAAAGCACATTCAAAGATGAGCGCCAATGGAATCTTATCTGTTTCCGATCACGGGCATGATCACATAGATCTTTTAGAACTTGTCATTGGCTAGCAAAGTGAATCCGCTGGCTTGCCGATTGCAGTGTCAAGAGAAGCGGACAACTTTATTCTGACTTCTACGACTGGTTCTAGGCTTTTGGACGATGGATACTTTGGACCCATGTTCTGACGGTGATATAAATAATGATGTGAGCTCACTCTATGTAGAAATAATCGACAAGAATCGATCGTGCTACAAATGCACGATTTGTGGCCGAAAGTTGTCGAGGAAACAAAGACTCGAAACCGACTTGAGTTGTGTTTATGGCAAAGGTGCGAAATAACACAAGCCAATCACGATTTTGAAAGCGATTACAAATCGTCTTTTACCCTCATTTTTATTAAAGAGGATACCGCATTAGGAAGTATAAGAGATACATAGATAATCGCAGTGTACCAGTACCTAAATCAACAAAGCTTGACCGTAACAAGCGTTCAACAACTCGTTCCAACACCGCCATCTCGATTCCTCAGTTAGTCGTTTCCACTGAACCTAAAGCAGTGGTGACAACAGAGTAGAGTGCGTTTCACAAAGGAGAAACATTTGTACAAGAGACAGAAGTAACTATATGTCATTACAGAGGTGCGCTGGAACTCTGGTCCACAAATGGTTATGCACTGTCCGAAGTATAAAACAATTTTGTTGATAGCTGACAGACAGAGAAGAACAACAAGGAAACTTTAGAGCTGTTATTATTGAAGTGTGATTTGCACTTTTCATTTGTATATAAAGGAGGAATTGTATTTTGCACCAAAAATAAAAAGAAGTAATATTTTTTGGGGGGTCCAGTGATTGGGACATTTAAGAAATAAAAAAAGAGACTCGGTTTGTACTTCTCACTACTAATAGGTCTTGTTTTAAAATATTTTCAGATCAGAGTTTCAAATAAAGTAAATTGAAAAAGTCATCTAAAAGGTGTTTTTTTCTCAAAGGGAACATTGACTACCTCTGTCTTGTCTGCATGCCAAATGTTTGCAAAGTGTATGGATGATCCACAAGTATTGGAACTCTTACAAAAATGTTTTGTAAGAATTAAAACAGCAAAACAGATTACAGCAATTAGTCACGAAAAGAGAGCAAAAAACTGAAAAAAAAACAGCAACAACAATCTTGAAAAAAGAAAGATTAATTAGGTGTTGAATTTGTTTGTCTAAGGCATGAAATTTCTACTCAAAATAACGTCAATGAAAAGTCTCTGACAGTGTTTGAGGCAACTGAGCTTGACTGTTCAAAGGTTTTCTAACAAAGGCAACTAGTAATGTAGGTTAGGGAAGTAACTTATGTTTATAACTAACAAAGTTCTTAAAGTGTAGATAACAATGTAATTATTGTTACACATGTGGAAGTTGTGTACCAAGACACAGCTAATGGATGTTTGATGATTTTGGCACATCTGTGAACATGAGACATTTTGCATCACTTTTATGATCATGGAAACTAAAAGTCCTTTGAGGTTAGAAAGTATGCAAATCTGTGATATGAGTACATTGGATTTATTGGCAATTTGCATTTAACATAATTGACTGCTGCTTCATGAGAAAATCCATATTAATGTAGAGATTTGCTAAAACTTAGTTTGAACAATAATTTTCATGATCTTTAAGTTATAAACATATACATGTATGTGTATCTTTTGGTAAATTTTGTATAGCATACCTTTTATTGAGCCAAAGTTTTAAGCCTCTAAAATTACTCCTTTTCTTAAAACCTTCACAATCAAGGTATTGAGAATTTCTTAGAATTTATGTGGACCTCAGGGTATTTAAATTGTCTCAAATTCAATCCCCAGAAATTCCCAAGAATTCCACCCTTCTTAAATTATAGGTAGTTTGTATAGCTGAGAATTCCTAGGAATTCCAATTCTTCACAAAACTGGAGTCTTCCTTCCCCAGAAATTCCCAGTAATTCCAAGCTTTTCAAATCAGAGCTTACTTGCATAGTTGGGAATTTTTCAGAATTCCTAGGAATTCCTGGGAATTCCCAGAAAACTGGGAATTCAGTTTGCAAGGGTTATTTGTATAAGTGGGAATTTTTGAGAATTCCCAGGAATTCTTAGGAATTCCTAGGAATTCCCAGAAAAATGGGAATTCAGTTCGCAAGGGAACCTTTGAAGGTAATTACGCCTGAAATGGTCCACTGTTGATAACTGTTAACCCGAGTTTGATATGATTGATATCATTGCAATATTGAACTTGGCTCATTTAACACAAGATAGTGGTAAAAATGTGCATAAAGTGATGTCGTCAGTAACACTTCCGACATGTGAGAACAGAAATATTTTCCAGAGGCTGACTTTTTTTAATATAAACATAGTTCTATGATAGGTTGCCACTGTGATTATACGTTTGTCAAAGCAAACTTTTCCTTTTTTTCCTTCTTTTACATTACCACTAAGAAACTTTGAACTTGCTGGAATCATTTGAGAGCTGTTGATTTGGTGACCTTTGATTGAATCAAACAGTCAAATTACTATCTGTTTGAAAGCCTCTGATTTAGCCCTCACTTCCATAATTTTTATGATATTCCTTCCCCAGAGTTTTTATCTAGAATGAGTTTACCTTAACAACTGTTTTGCTTTGCAAAATCAATAGCAAGAGAACAAAAATCAATCGCAAACTGAATTCAGAATGGTGGTTATAGAGCTTCTGAACTTTTATTCTTTCATGACAAGGACATGGCAGGAAAATCAATTGGTATAGGGTGGAGAGGGTGGAAGTCAATATTATAGGATCACCCCCAGTCTTCAGGTTACCCAGGAGAGTTAACTGATACCAATACACTCTTTTTGGTAAAGAGAAACACTGCAAGTTAGAGTAAAGTGTCTCACTCAAGTAACTGATATAGTGATTCATTAGGGCTATCTTACTTGTCATAATCTTTGCTTCGCTGTTATTTCACAATATTATGTTAATATTTATAATTCCTTTGAGGAGCAATTGTAATTGTAATTAAAATATTGTATTATGTAATAACTGTGATGATATCGCAAAATCTAGATACAATATATTTATCTTAAATTGTTATTTCACAGTTCCTCCAGAAATTACTGACCCACCAGAGCTAAAGCCTTTACTTGTCATCAGAGAAAACCATACTTTGACCTGCAATGCATCTGGTGACCCTCTTCCCAATATTTCTTGGACAAAAGATGGCATTCCTGTGGATAGGTTTTATGTGACAGGTAATCAGCTTTATTTGTTCGACGTGAAGTTGGAGGATGTCGGATCGTACAAATGTACAGCTAGTAATGGATATGGAGATAATGCCACCAGTGTCAGTATTGTTGGCATAAGATGTAAGTAGTCTGTCCTGTTTATCTGATTACAGCAATGCATTTGTAAATTGTTTATGGTTTGATTTTAGACAGACACAATGGTGTTATGATTCATGTTTAACTGCAAAATGACACAATGGCACCGAATTAGCAGAATATAGAGAAAAAGTAGTTACTTTCTCTCCTGTTGAGATGTCAATACAGTATTTTTGTTAGATTGTCTTAGTGCCAAGCATAAAGGTGTCTGTCTCTGTGAAACAGTTTTGTTCTTTTCAGTATTTATGCACTTACTTTAACAGAGACCAAAGCTAGCTTTGTTATGTGGGTGTGAATTATCGGTTGATAAGCTTTCTTTTAATGACTCATTGCATGGAACAATTTGATGGCCAAAGGAGGTAGTAGGGTTCGAAAAATGGTCTCTTCAGAATATTCTTCAACTCATAAAAAAGTCACCAGTTGAAGGTATAAGATGGTTATAAAGCGAAAAAAACAAATAATTAAATGAATAAAAGTGGCAACTGGTATTGAAAGTCTTGTTGCCAACAGTCCATTTTCAGTGGCTTTGGCAACCAGCCGGTCACAATTTGAGATGCTACTTTCTTTTTGATTTGTAATATAATGATAAACTGATTTGCATGTTGTAGGTTACTGAGAGAGGCAAGTTTGCTAGGCAAAATATTTTTCCTTACTCCTGCCTTTGCATGAAGCCAATGTTAATTAAGTTGCAGTTTAACCCCATCTCAAAGGGCGAACTGAATATCCAATTGTTTTCTATATATGACTAACCTTGAGGTCAAAGTGTGAAGTTCAATGAAAAACAACAATTTCACTTGTTTCCAAAACATGCAATAGTTTTTTTTTGGCATGAAGATATTTTATTGCCAGGGTGACCATGCAATATGTTCAATATCGGCAATGGTCAATAATGTTTGACTAATAATATTGTTTATTAAATAATTCAAATAGTACGCGCGCTCTGATTGGCCATAAAACCATTTTACATGAGCGTATGTAAACATGGTTTTATTTCCTCTTTCATTAGTCATTTTATAAAAGAAATGTAAAATTGTTTCCGTGTTTACATAGCCCGATGTAAACACGCGGGAGGTTGGGAGAACACGAGATAAGCGTAGGAAACCACGACGCGAAGCGGAGTGGTTTCCAGCTTATCGAGTATTATCTTATCTACGTAAACAAGGAAACCATTTTACATTTCTTCATTAATGCATGCTAATTTTTGTTCATCACACTTTAGGCAATGATTGTTTAATTAGGAGCATTGGAATAACATTACTGAGTGAAGTTTGGACTTCAGCCTTAAATAACAGAGAGTCAATTGAGTTCAAAACATTGGAGTCAAAGTTTTTATCAGAAGTAAGTATCCTAGTGTGGCATTTATTAAGGACGTTTGGTGACCATATCAGGAGGAGAAACCCCCTTATATCTATCTGTTCACAATAGAGTGGTGATTAGCAAATTATTGATGTTCTTCCAGCACTGGCTGACTTATTAGCATCCTTTTTATCCATTTAAGATGTCTGCAATAATCTTTGTAGATTCTTTTCATAGTTCTGCTCTTCATTCAGCATTCAGTAAAGAGTTTTTCCTTGACTATGAGTTACAAGGATGTTTGAGTTATAAGTAAAGCAGACTTTTGAATTGTAATAAATTAGCCAACAAACCTGTGGGAACTAGTAAACTTGATGCTCTTCTTTTAAGGCAAAGGCAGCTAACTTAAAATTAAATTTAGACACTTGGATTTCAATTTTTGGTTTCTTACATTTGATAGTTAAGTAAAATGTGAGAAGAGATACTGTTTTTAACTGCCACAATAGGAAACCTGGACACTTTCATTACTTCAAAAGCAGGGTCACGTGGAATGAATTGCGTGAACATTTAAATTGTACGTTTAAGCATTTTTAGCATGTAAAATAACTGTGGTTCCTATCTTTGTTTAAGATTTCTTCTGTTTACACAAAAAATCCTGGAAAACAACTGTACACAGTGGGACTTGTTGATTTCAGGTAAGTGTCAAGATTCAAAAGAGTGCCCAGTATAATGCCCAGAAGTAATTTTTTTAGAAAAGGGAAATGGCCCTCTGCTATTATTTCAGGATTTAGTTACAGTATAAAGGTGATCGACATATGTTCTGAAACATTTTTAGGTTATATCCGTCATGTTTAGTTTTTGAAAAAATTAATTTTCAGTAGAATGACGTTAATGGCCAAGATGAATAAGTAATAACCATTTGCTATTATGCAAAAAAATTTAAATAGTGAGTTTTTTCCTGGTTATAGATCTGGTAGTGTTGTTGCTGAAGTAGAGCTCAAGTTTGAAAAATCCGTTCTTGATCCTTTGAAACCACTCGAAGATGAAATCAAAGATGGAAAGCTTGGGTCATTCACAGTGAGCCGTGAACTTGATTTGAATCCAAGTAAGGCCTGTGCTACCTCACAACTAGATTCGATTTTGCCGTTTGTGGGAAATTACAAACTTTCTTCATAACCCTGTACTGTTTGTAGATGAGCTATTGTAAAAACTAGGGAGGGTTTTCAAGCAAAGTGGGTTACACACATTCAAGTGTGTAAAGGATGTTTTATTATATTACTAACATGGATGCATATATTTTCTTCGAGTGTTGAGAATTTTTTTTCGCATGCTCGGCTTGCTCGCTTGTGAGAGACGTCATTAACACGTTCTTAATAGTCATCTTCTCTGCCCAAATAGAGTATGGTGAGGTCTAAAACTAGCTACCTTTTCCTTGTTCTTCTCCAACAGGCTTAACTTATTTCAAGGATATCTATGTTGTAGTTTTCAGCCTCTTGCCCAACCCTCCTCCGTCCACGCTTGGGACCGGCAAAGGCCGAGTTAATGTATAGTAGTTATCAGTGACCCACATTTATGTGCGACTGAAATTCACTTGCATAGTCACTGAGGTTACAGAAGAACTACTTTGACTTCTGAAACAATAAATTTATCAAGGTGTTGTGCGAACACTATTCTTCCAAAGAAAAATTGAGTTCAATCTTGGTAATTTTCTTAGAAAAAAAAGTGGAAAAGTTATCATGATTATTTCCATTACGAAATTGGTAACCTCTCATGTGACAATATCAATGATACTTTTACTGTATGCGTTGAAGATATCTTGTATTCGCAACAAGAGAAATTCTAAAATTTCATCAATATCTCTGCTTTCTCTCTAAAATGCCAATTTGCGTATATTCAATACTTTTCCCTTATCTACCTGCGTAAAGAGAGTAGCGTAAAGATGCGAGACAATACTTTTTATTCTGTTTTCTAAGCTGCAATTGCCTTAAGCAGCTGTTTTTGCCTCTGTAGAATTTTTTTTTTTATTTCAAGAAATTATAATCTCGTAGTTCAATATTTTATCGGGTTTCATAAAAATTTGTCTAATCATTGCTTATTCTTTTGCAGCTTCGGTTCCCTTTACAAACTTTACAGCCACAGGTGAGAGAGAAAGTCCCATCAATTTTCTAATCAATTAACTCAGTGATTATAACCGTCGATTTTCTTTTTTTCTTGTCATACCTTTTTCGAAAAGGTTTTGCAAATAATTTTGTTTTCTATTGTCGAATAATTTTTTGGTGTTATTTTCACGCACTGCGCGTAAATGCAAATTTTATCTTTCATTTGTAATAATATCTATCGATGTTTGGCTTCGCTGCTCAAGAGAAACATTATCAATAAATCGAATCCATAACTACGCTTGTGAGTTCCTGCTTACCATGTAGATATTAGTAACTTACATATTTATCAGACTTAATGCAGAGATCACTTGCACGTTCGCTGAGGTTGCAGAAAAGCTACTTCAACTTTCGACATAAAACATATTAAAACAAGTATTCGCCCAAGAGAACTTCTGGTATTTCTATTTATTTAACATGCCAATACTTGTTTAGGTACATGTATATGTATCCTTTATATAGTGTGCGGCAAATGTACATGAAAAACTCGTTTATTGTTTTCTGTTTTCTAAGTTAAACTACCTTTACTAAAATTTTAAGCAAATGAAGATCATCGCAGTATATACTCAACTTAAGCAGTTGAGAAAATAAGGCCTGAAAAAAAAATTCAGGCCTGAACGGGAATCGAACCCATGACCTCTGCGATACCGGTGCAGCGCTCTAACCAACTGAGCTATCAAGCCAACTGGGAGCTGGTCAATTGTGAGTTCGTTATATACCCGTAGATAGAGAAGGTGTGATAAGAATACATGAATACATTTTAAGCCAATGAAGATCATCGCAGTATATACTCAACTTAAGCAGTTGAGAAAATAAGGCCTGAAAAAAATTCAGGCCTGAACGGGAATCGAACCCATGACCTCTGCGATACCGGTGCAGCGCTCTAACCAACTGAGCTATCAAGCCAACTGGGAGCTGGTCAATTGTGAGTTCTTTATATACCCGTAGATGGAGAAGGTGTGATAAGAATACATGAAAGTCATATATTTGTACTGCGGAAAATACATTTTAAACAAATGAAGATCATCGCAGTATATACTCAACTTAAGCAGTTGAGAAAATACTAAATTTACTAAAATTGTTTACTTTATGCTGAAGATATAATTATTACAAGAAATACTAATCTCGTAATTTAATAATACTTTATCCTTTGTGCCTTGCAAATATGTTTAGTGATTGCTTAATCTTTTTCCAGCTGGCCCCTTCACAAACGTTACGTCAACAGGTGAGAGAGAAATTTTTTATTTTGAAATTAAATAACTTTTAAACCGTTAGAAATAGCGTGCTTACAACAGAAATTATCGTATTCATCAATATCTTTATTATAAATCGCTATTTCTCATGCTCGTAACCTTGATTTTGACGTACCAATACTTGCCTAAATACATGTATATTCAATAAGTGTTTCCATCTGTACCCTTAACAAAGGGCACTGTGAAAGTGCCAGACAAACTCGTGTCTTTTGTCCTCTTTTCTCAGATGAAGCTACCCTCACCACAGCTGTTTGCTTCTTGCCAAAGCTATGGTCTCTTAAAGAACTCCTTATCTCGTGATTTAACTTGTTGTTTCCTTTGTACTATGCAAATATCTCTGATGATTGCTTTCTCTTTTCCATCCCTTTGTAAGCATTACGGGCACAGGGGAGAAGCAATTCAAATAAATTAAAATTTTAATTGTTAAAATCGTCGTTTTTCAATTTTACTTGAAACATTGTCGCGCTTTGTGTTCAGCAGATAGCTTCCATTATTGGATCATGCCTCTACCGGTTTCCAACTCAAGATAAAAGAGGCTATTAATATTAAGAAAAAAACAACCATCATTGAATCAACAATTACACCATGTAAATCTAAAACTATCCTTCACGTTTTATCTCTTTCCTTGTTGTCACCATTTATCATAATTAGCATTGTTCTACTTACTACATAAATTCAACTCCAACGCTTTGTACATTAATTAACTGAAGATGACAGAAGTTTCTGTCGAAACATGTATTATAGACTTAAAAGTTTTGTCGCTTTCTTTAAATACTTGAAGCAACTTTTAACGAAAGCGTTTGTTAATAATCTCATCTTTTTTGTGTTGTTTAATTCATTTTTAATGCTTAAACATTTATTATTCCTTTCCAGCTGTTCCCTTAACAAGCAGTGCGGCATCAGGTGAGAGGGAATTTCCTTTCCTTTCAAAGTCTCTAACTTTGCAATTGTACCCGAAACAAGATTTTCCAAAGGACTTATGATATGAGTTTAGCTCTCTGCTGATTAGTTCAATTGGTCCACCTTAACTTTTACAAAAACCTGCGACACGCTCAGCGAAGTAACGGAAAAGTTGATGATTGTTATTTTTCTCAGTATCAAAGTATGGTATGGTTTGAAGACAACAATCTATGACCAGTGTTTTTGCGAGCGATCTAGAAAAACGGAGTCTGACAAAGGAAAATAAAGGCTAACCAATAAACTTCACAGAAATAATGTGGAACATAAAATATCAGAGCAAACCCTGGAGGGTAATTGTTCTTGTGAAGTTCAACTTTTCAGCTAAATCAGCATAAGAGTTAACTCAGGAATGCAAACCTTATGTATTCTTCTTTCTTTCCACGTTCAGGCGAGTTTGTTTAAATGTAACACGATACTGCCCACACATAGATTAGTCTAGAACTACTATGTGAATATGTGTTATGTATGACGTTGAGTATTTATCCACGAGTGTCATGACAAGTGGTCAAGTTTGGCCAAAAAATACTTTTCTGGTGATCAAGAGATTCTCTTGGGTGAGATTAAAAAGTTGCTGCGGTCCAAGATAAAGTTGAAATTCACTCAAAAGACCAATCTTTGAGAAAAAAAAAAGATAAATATTATAACAGAAAGATTCAGGGTTACTCCATCACCCTTCTGAATGTACGTTGGATAAGGGCCTCTATAAAGCGTTGTATTATTGTAGCCATGTAATGGTTAGTATGGCTAGCTATGAATGTTTGCACACGTGTTGGTTTTTCTCAAGGTGCAGATCAAAGTGACGATCGGAAAAAGCAAACTATGCTTCACGCCATTTACTCGCTAACAATATTTCTACTTTTGGTGATTATCATTGTGTTAGTGTTTGTCATTTGGAGAGGGAAGAATAGGCAAGGTGAGATGCCTGATCTAATTTTCTCTTTTACTTCTGCCGTAATCCCTAATTGTTAGTATGAAAGCCAATCGTAAGAAAGTGTTGGAAAATTATTCAAAAATTAAAGTTGACAGGGGAAGTCCACCCTGCTTTCTAGTTTCCGACCAGTGGCAAAATCTGCTCTGAAGATTACGATAAAAAATATTTTGGGTCGCGCTCTCGGCATTTCTGCAAATTGCGTCATTGTAGAAGGAATAAAGACTTTCAATACAGCAGTCAAACACTGTGCATCCGCAAGAGTCTGAAAATGCTACGGTGGACGTCCAAACGCGTGTCTATCGTAAAGTGAGGAAGAAAAGGTTAAATTTGTAACTCAATACGTAAAACAAGTGAAAAAAGGATTTGGAGAAAGTTCTAATCTTGTTATCTTGTTCTTGCTTCATTGTGAAAAATCCCAACTGTTTTGAGCGCGGACGCTTCGTTTTGGGGCGGGAGGCATAGGACAGAACCTCTCTCTACCTTTGCAGTTCTTCCTAGTCTACTGTCCGCGATAAACGTAGGTCGTTTATCGTCGCGAATATCTTGTGTGGTTCTGTTTCTTCCTTTTTTCACTCATTTCCTCGGTGTTTACCAGTACACAAACAATAACAACTGCAGCACGGCCGAGCTTTTGGGCGAATTCATCACTCCACCGTGCTAAGTGTTTAAAAAGTGTGCAAGTGTGAACCAGCTCAAAGTGCTGGAGAAAGTCTGGAAACACAACGCATTTAAGTCTTGGCCCTAGGAACTTCGAAATTTCCTTGTAAACTGCATAAATATACGTCGCACTCGATATAAAAGCCGTGTTGATAGCCACTGTTTGACCGCAGTGATCAGATATTTTCGGTTTCCACCTTGAGAGAAATTTTTTCTTTTCTTTTTTTTTTTTGAGACTTTCAGCCTAGGAGAGTGACGCTGTCGTTGATCAACCATGATTCTTAAAAGCTAGGCTATTTTAAAGTTACCTTTTTTGGTAGAATAAACCTGCAATGTTAGCTACGGAAACCATGTAGAACCACATCAAAGAGTGTCCTCCGAATGGTTCCGACAAATTTCATTGAAGCAATTTTTTTATCTTAAGTTTCGTTTCTTTCCACGTTGTTTTGCCTTTTAGATCAATTTCTTCGTTGGCAGTAAAATAATACAGTCAACTCTCCGTTAACGGACACTCGTTTTGGACAAATTTTGAACACTGTACATTTGTTTCGTAGGTCCTTCGACTGAAAATGCGAGGTAGGTACAGTTAGTATTCTGTTTGTATCATGGTGTTTGTATTTTCGAGATACAGTCATATATTTGAAACATTTTAATGAGCATGCTCCCTGACGGAGAGAGCTCATTAAATAATCTTAAACAGCGCGGAAGGTTGGATTTGAGTAAAAAAGTTAACATTTTTGCGCAGAAATTTGAAATTGAATTGGTTTATTGTTTGTTGTGAACAAGAAGTAGAGAACAATACATGGTTGCTTGTAGATATGGAATTTCTCTTCTCGTGTTCAACTCGACATCTCACTCGTTCGCTGCACTCACTCGTGAGTTATCGAGTTAAACACTCGAAGAGAAATTCCATATCTATACGCGCCCATGTATTATTCTCTATTTATCATATAAATACAATAGCCCTTTACTGACAAGAAAAGCCGACTTCATTAATGAATGAAAATAAATGAATCGACAATCCCCGAATTACAATCGTAGAGTGCGTTGGCGCTAACTCTTAAGATGGAAAAATGCGTCGAATTAAGATCACGAAAACAACAATGGTCGTAATTTCCAATTTTCAAAATTCTCATTCATTGACTTTGTTCTTACCGACAGAAGAAGTCTTTCATGTAAACGCCCAAAATCGGCCAGTGGCAAATTTTCCATTTGTCGATTTTCATTCTCAGCCGAGAGAAATGCCAACACCAAAGCCACCGAATACGTAATTTTCGGTTTTTCTTTTAGTATATTGGTTTTATTCTCCTTCTAGAAAAGTTTGAACCTCATTGTCTGTCAGCGATACGGATTTTTTAATGTTTTAGCCGCCCTAATTCGCGAAAGCTCCGATAAACAACTTGCATTGAGAATCGTGAAGGCTTTGCCTTTCATTCATCAACCTGACCGAGTGACGCCGAAGGCGAGTGACTAGTCAGCAGCTGATTGGCTATATCAACACGTGAAAAAATACGATATTTTTTCACGTGTGTTGTTTCGGCTTTTCTCAGGGCCGGAAATCCCTCTATAACACCGCAGTTTATGTGATAAATCAGATTCTACCATAAAGTTTTGAGGGAGCATGTGCAATATTTTCAGTATTTGAAAATGTACACTCTTAAATAAGGTGTGTTTCAATAGCACACCTTGTGAGTTCTCTAACACATCAAGGTGTGATGTGGTGACACACCTCTTCACTGTTTTATTTCACGGTTCAAGAAAACACACCAATGTGTGTAAAGAAACACAGGCGGTGTGTAACAATTACGCACCTTGAGATCAGTTTTGCAACACACCATAAATTAACGAGATGCAAATGTTCTTCAGTTTGAGAAATCTGCCAGAGCCATCATAACACAAAAAAAGGTGCGTTGCAGTAACATCTTCTGTTTGATGCGAAGCTCTTCTTTAGGATATGTTTTTACAGTGGAAATCGCTCACTCGACTTCTGTCAGTTCGAACTTCCTGGCTAACTCGAATTGAAAGTAATTTACATCGAGGTACATTTTTCACTTAGTTACTATCGATGGACTTGATTGCCTTGTTATCTCGCTTCGCGTTGTTTTCATTACGGCTAAAATTAATTTTTCAAGTTCGTTTGGGTTTTTTGGCCCTTTATTTTGATTTGCGCTGGGTATTATTATTTCTTCTAAGAAAAAAACGACTCCGCATCAAGTTCTACCACTATGCTGCCCATAGTTATATACACTATGTTCAATCTTTTTTTTTTTTTTTCAGTTGCCGTTATCATCAGGTAAATGCTACGGATAATTAGGTAAATATGGAGAATACTCGATGGAAAGAGATGAAGTCTTCAAGGGACTTGTTGTTATTAGACTTCGTGATCACTTGTTGTCAAGTGTTTCGTTACAATCACCGCTGCATTTGGTTTTGGTTATTTGTTTTCACTTCGCTTTTAGGATCAAGGAAACCCAGTTCAAGCCAGTGAAGCATACGTGAATATCTCCGGAAACGAGGAAACGTTAGTTATTCAATCGTCGCCATCAAGAAACGCAGTACCAAGCAGAAGACATCAAATGAACTCTGAGTATATGTCCATTAAGAGAATAACAACAAAGTTCAAGAAATGGGAAGTAAAACGGGAAAATGTTCAAATCTCGAGAGTTATTGGAAAAGGTGCTTTCTGTCAGGTTGCTAAGGCAACCGTATCAGATATTAATGGAATAAAGGGAGCAACAACTGTGGCAGTTAAGATGCTGAAAGGTATGTTGCGGAGACAAGTAGTCAGTACCTATTTTTTAAATCGTGATTACTGGACAGATTATCAATAAATCAATAATTTTACTAGGAAAAAAGCGAACTTGGCCAAACATACAAGGCAAAGTGGCTCTTTCTTATATTGGAATAGTTTGTTGAGTACTTCAAGAGTGGTATTCCCCGTTCGTATGAGAACATTTTGTTTGAGCACATAGTATTCTATGCAACTACAGCAAGTCTCAAACGTGAAAATGAATCAGTAGAAGAGACGTCATCTGGCTTAACTTTTATACACCATCTCACATGCTTATGTGTGATGGCAATGTTTTTAATTTTCTATATTTTTGGTAGAAAATGCCCCGGATAATGACAGGAAAGATCTGCTGTCAGAGCTGGATTTGATGAAGAAACTAAGGCCTCATCCTCATGTCATTAAACTGATGGGATGCGTCACTAAAACTGGTAAAATAGGAAGGATATTGGTAATACTTCATCGTTTGTTCAGTCAAATCTGAATTTTAATTAAGTTTCATGTTAAAACAAAGGGTTGTTTTGCAGATCCTTTGCTTGTTCTCATTGAATACATACCTTACGGTGATCTGTTGGGTTACCTAAGAAAGAGTCGCGGCCTAAATGACACATACTTTAAAGATCCGGATGTTAAACCTGAGACCAACCTGACTTCAGAACAACTGATGCAATTTTCCCTGCAGATTGCTGATGGAATGAACTTCCTTTCTGCTAACAAGGTATTCACGAAACGTGTGTCAGTGTAGCACCTTGTTTTCCATTCTGATAAAGTGTTAGGTCACAGCAAAAAGTTGCTCGGAAAGGTGGTTGGAAAGGTAGAGAGTGACCTCTCCGATGCTAATGAATCACAATCTCTCGGATTATGGCGAAATTACCTGGTTTATCACGTTTTAGAGCTGATTTATTGTGCACAATAATAACCCAGACGGGCATGTACATATTTCACTCCCCACTCCCCCCTCCCCCAGTCCAAAAAAAGGGAAAAACAACTTTTAAAGAAAATGTTATTCCTTTCGTCGTAAGAGTGAGACTGAGAATGAAATCCAATTCCTCTACACCATTGCATCTAATGTATGGAGTTAGATCGGAGCTGTATAGTTCGGATATCCTTTCCTCTGAACCCCTTCGTCATTTCGTCCGAAGTTTCTGTTTCACGTGCTATCTTCGTGGCGTGTTTAACGTCGCTTCTTGAGTCGCTCTACATTTCGTGGCGTCGAAAAGTAATTCGTATCGTAGCAGTCCCTGCTTGTAACCAGTGGTAAGCACGTTTTAATCGTCATGTTGTGTATCGTCTCTTTCTGTGAAAATGTCCTTCAGCACGCTGAGTTCTTCAACTAACTTCGATTCTTTTTTTAAGAATGCCATTTCTAATGATACTCGAACGCTGGAAAGTGTGCTGTCTCGGTAACGACAGCCATGAAATTGATTATGCTTTGTACCAGGTGGATCATTTTCTAACGTTGTGCATTCAATGTTAAATCGTTTGGAAAGGTACTTACGTTGCTTGCATGATGTATTTTTGCCTTGAATATACTTGCAACTATCCTTGTTTCAAGATGGCTTTGACAACCTTCCTCTCAGATTTGAATCAAAACTTGACACCTGTTGAGAGGGGACAATGAAGTTCCAGAAATCCCATGCCCCTTGTTTAGAGAGTCGTTCAATCTTTTTTTAATCTCTAGTTAGCCCACTTGATCAATCTGATTTTCATGGAACAGACCTTTATATCAAAGTTGTAGAGATTATCCATGGCTTGGTTTTACAAGATCGAGTAAAATAACAGAATTTCTGCTCGCTGACAAGAGTTCGAACTGTAAGAGTTATTAAGCAAGAAAACAGAAAACATTTTGGAGATAAAATAATGCAAGCAACTAATTAAGCTATGTGTATTCACTAGTGAGGATAAAAGGTGGAATGAATATGTGAAATTGTAAAATTTATAACTAGTATAGTATCACAACCTTGCTGAACAGAACGAAATAAAAGTAACAATGTAACTAGTTTCATTGATAGTTAATTGTTCTAGAATTCTCCACAATGCATGCTTGGTGGGGTCCAAAATCTACATGGCCTCTGAAACTGGTTTAATTTCAACAATCAGGCCGATGAATATATATATATTTTTTCATCGTATGTGAGGAGAGATCGTTGTGGTGGTCTCTAAATATTAATTTCATTACTTGAAAAATACAGCAGTGATGTGTACCTCCTATTCACAGGTCAAGAACACGCAAAATTTGAACAACAAACAAGGCAGTTTTAAAGCCTTCTGTAACATTAATATGTTGTTTTGAATACCTCCATCTGTTGTATCCAATGAAACAAAGCCTAGGCATTACCAAACCAAAACACTCCTTTACCATTAAGATACGAGCCTCGGTCATTGATGCAAGGGAGTTGATATGATGAGGTAAACCCAAATGCAAGTCACAAGTTAAAGTGCTTGGCCGACATCTGCAGTTTTTTGGATATCCAAAAACAAAGTGGAAGCCAAGGGCTGGCTTTTGCTGACAACCGGTGATGAATTTCAAGATATCCTTAATGGAAAGTTAGAAGTTGACATAAAGGAATTTCTGAATATACAGTATGAACTGTACATTAAGATTTTCTTAAGTCGAGTTGCGTTACACTGCAATTGAAAAAAAGCCTTATGCTCAAGCCAGAAGTTGTTTTTAGAATCATTTAGTTGATTCACACAAATACTCAAAAGAGGAAAGCAAAAAGGCATTCTTCAATTAACGTTAGCTGAATGAGAACTCAGAGTGCTGAATGAAATTTTCCCAGAAAGAGACGATATATAACGCACGATTAAAAACGTGCTTACCGTTGACTGTTACGGCACGCATTACGTTTGACGACACGAAATGTGGAGTGACTTAAGGAGTGACGATAGCACGTGAAACAGAAAATTCTTCCGACGATATGACGAGGGGTTTGAAGGACAGGAAATGAGAAATATGTAGCTCCACGTAGTATGACTCGACGATACGAACAAAGGATACCAAATTATGACCTCGATCTGACTCCACGCTGGCAAACTACCGAGAGAGCTCTTTGGTGAACAAGTTAAGTTCATTTATGACAGCGTTCCGCATACTATTAGGATCAGTCATGTTAAAAGTGTCGTGTGAAAGTAAATTTAATGGGAAAGATGGTAAATTTCCAGCTCTACCGTCGACTAGAGAAAGTCTTTTGTTTTTGACCATTGGATGACCGAACTCAGAACTTACCGATTTTCCTGTTCTGAATGGCTCCATTTTTTAAATTACATTACATCCATGTGTCAGATCATCCACCGTGACTTAGCGGCCAGAAATGTTCTTGTTGGTGAAGGAGAGAAGTGTAAGGTGACAGACTTTGGAATGGCGAGGAATGTTAACCAGGATGATATCTACAACAAAACAAGTCGGGTAGGAAACTGAGTTATTCCCTTTTCTCTTTTAACTCGCCTCCATTTTGAAGAGTGTTTTTCGCTCTTACATTAATCTGTACTTAGGATGTCGTACTTTGCAAAGTTCACCAATTCTTGTCTGAATGAAGGAAGAAATCGATGTGAATTTAATATTTCCGTTGCGTAATTTGAACAGGGCCGTCTGCCAGTAAAATGGACCGCTTATGAGGGTTTAGTATATGGAAAATACACAACACAAAGTGATGTGTAAGTATTCCCCCCTTTAAGATACTCTAAACATAGCCATCTGGGTATGACTCAACTCCAGGTCCGGATTTTGGTCATTCTTATTTCTAAGAAGTCCTACAATGCACACAGATTCAAATATCTTTTTATTTTCACTTCCACTTTCATTTTGTCACAAAGATTTCGCTAAGGTGAAGTTAAGATTAGCAGTTAGGTTTGACTCGAGCAAACGTCCACCACAAACGGGATCACAAAGATTTTATGCTGTATTCCGAAAGGAAATGAGCTCAAAGTTACCGGTATCCCTTTAACCATCGCAAGCATACTTCTTACTAGCTTAGTTCTTCTTCCTGTTTAGCTTCCCAGATAATGCGTTTTTTGGTCGTCATTTGAATCTCCTGCTTTTTAAGAAATGATTATGGAGACTATCTAGCGGCCTTAAAGGATGCTGGCAAATAAGATTGACGAAAATCAGTTGATGTTGAAACTCGTGTCGTTTGAGAACTTATCTCAGCAGGGAGCTTGAATTTTCTGCGTAGTAACAAAAAGCTATACTTTGCTGGAACTCAAGTTGATAGCCAAGCTGGTTGCTCATTCTTGAACCATGTTTAAACAATAATGTATAAAGACTTAACCTCTTTCTTATATTGATTTATTCATATTTATTTTTAAAGACTTCAGGCTACGTGCATAATCCCATCATAGATCTTGGCCGATGATGTCGGGGCCACTGTTTAAAATAAATCTATTTTCCAAGCAGCGAGAAAGTTAAAATCGCGAATTATCATGTTTTACTTGACTCAGATCGCTTCGCTGCCTCATGCACTTCATTGGTTTTTCCTTTTCTGTCATTTGCAGGTGGAGTTTCGGTGTTGTTCTGTACGAAATATTTACTGTAGGTAAGTCTGAACAGTTTTAATAGTTAAAACAAAGCACTATTTTGTATGGACTGGGGAAGAAGGGACAGAATTGCCGCAGTTTTTAAGTAAGTTTTGACGAGGATGATATAGTGAGGTTTGTGCTAAGACAATGAGTCCTGGAATATCAAGAAAGTTACGTGTGTGAATATTATTCTTGCCTCATTACTTCAGTTTAAGCGTTCATTTTATGTCCATAGGTGGATCTCCTTACCCCGCGATTAACGCTCGCGAAATTGCAGAGAAACTTCAGCAAGGATACAGAATGCCAAAACCTAAACATGTTGATGAACAGCTGTAAGTGTTCTGCTGCTGTTGTTTTTTAATCCTTGTTACCACAAATAGCAATAAGAGGTATAAGTGTTTAAAGTCCTGTTATTAATTTATGACCGCGTTCAGCTGAATCAGCATGTTTTGGTATGACTTATGCCATCATCCGTACCATTAAAGTAAGTTAACCGGAAACGAGACATGCGCGGGCGCAAATATAACATTTGGAAGTTTTGGTGTTTGATGGTTTGGTATTTAGGTTTGGTACTGTAATTTCTAACATTGTCATTTGAATGAAATTGATATCGTAATTTTTAATGTAACTTGTGAAAACTAAGTAAACGGATATGACACAATGGACTAATGATGGCACGAGTCACGCCGAAACATTCTTCAAAAATGTTTAATCGAAAGTTTGAAATTTGTTTTATTTGACCAAGTAGGCTTTGAAAATGCCAATGCCTGAAAATGGGTTAGTACCTTGTGCAGCGAAAAGTCAGATGTCTGTGTTTATACAGCAAAATCGCGAGATCTCAAGATATAACCAAATCCGAAAACTAAGTCCCGGAGCTATGATTCATAATGGTAATTGCACTGAGTGGAGTGCAATTTGGGCTGAAATCATACGCGTGATTTCAAAATCGAACGAGCGCTCAGCGCGAGTTCGATATGAAATCACAAGTATGATTTCAGACCAAAATTGCACGACACGAGGTTCAATTACCACTTTCTTACATCCATTTTGAAATCGCCCAAATACAGGACTTGGTCAGTTCAAATGTTTTATTGATGCCGTACTGAGCCGGTCTGAAATTAAATTCATGTCCATTTTTTGGGGGGAAAAAGTAAGAGTTGAGAAACAAAAGTTGCAAAATTTGCCACATGATACTCTTTGTCTTTCATTTTACTGCTATTTGATCGGTTACTTTAAAAATCTGATTGGTTGTTCTGTTTTTAATGTAGCCTCCTCACTGGCTGGAAAAAGATGCGATTTAAAGCAAAAAATGGGGCGATTCGTGAATAAATCGCATCAATTAGAGCCAATCAGATTACAGGGACCACCAGTCATTTCAAAATGGTTGTAATAATTAATATTATTGTGGATGTTATATTTATCACTTGTCTTTAGTTACCAGATTATGGCCCAGTGCTGGCAGGAAAATCCAAACGACAGACCGACATTCCCTTCACTTAAAGACATTATCACTCGTATGTCTAAAAACAAAAATGTAAGTGAAAAATTGCGTTTTTCTATGGCTGAAGTAGTAAATTATTGGGTAGCACTATCATTTAAATGTATATGTTTCGAAAGCCTGTGTATGTTTCTACTTAGATATCTTAGGATTTACACCAAAGAGATACATGTTGCATATGGTAGTCACGAAATCTGGGCGATAATTCAAAAGGAAATTAACAGCTCGCATATTTCCCGCTTGTGACCCTCCCCTTATCTAATAAGCCCCGTCAAGGTGCTCTATTTGAATTGTGCGGAATTAATCTTCTTCTCTAAAACGGGTGACTTGTTACATTTATTATTATAAGTATTATCATTGTTGTTGTTGTTATTATTATTATTTTTATTATTGTTATTATTACTAGTATAGGTAATCACATGACTGCAATTTTGAATAAATAAGCATGGGTGAATTTTTTCAAAGACTAACAAAATTGCACGAGCCCGTAGGGTTCGTGCAATTTGTGGTCTCTGAAAAAATTTACAGGTGTTTATTTATTCAAAATTGCACGAGAAAAATTATGTGATTACATATTCATTCATCATATACGTGAAAAAATACAAGATAGCGTATCATAATTATGCATAAGCAAAGCACGCGCATCAAATGCAAAAATAATTTACACTCGATTGCAAAAACGTTGACGCCTAATAAGCTTGATTCACGAACGACAAGACCCAACACCTCTATGGGAAATGTTCGCACAGATACATAATCAGTGATTTACTTCTCTCATTATTCATGGAAAAATCTTTTCTCATGATAAAACGTTTTCTTATGGTTATCATCTACATTTGACCCCTAAAACTGCTGAGTCTCATCGTTCATTATAAACGCTTGTTGCGTGTCAACGTTTTTGCAATCGAGTGTATTCAAACCTTGCGAGTGACTTTGTGAGTTCAGTCAAAACAACCGCGTACGATCAAAACAATAATATACAATGATATTTTCACATCTTTCGGGCGCAAAAACGTTCTAAGTCCCGCTAAACAGTTCAAGTAATTGTTCAGTCTGGTTTGTTACTTCTTTGCACTGTATTAACCTTCTTCTGCATTGAAATACCTGAAAACTGCATTTATCTTAACCGATCGGAACTTAGTAATTTCTCGATGCATCGTATTAGTATTAGTATTATCATCATCATCATCATTATCATCATCATTACCATAAATTTTTTATAATTTTACATCCTCTTCCATATGGCAAACTTAGAACCATATTGACACACACTAATGTCAACGTATTTTTTTTTCTTTTTTCGTATTCAGGACACCTATATCAACATGAGAGAGTATGATACCAACCTTTATGCGAATGTCGATGACCTACCTATGGAATGAACGAAGACAATTAATTACAACGTATCATAGGGGCAGGGTATTAGTTCGAAATATTCTTAGCAGTCTCTAGAGTATGGTTACAGGTGCTTTGTCAGCCTTGCTTCAGTCTAGTTTTGAAGTTGACTCATCTTTAATGAACGTTCGTTGTGCACTTGTTTTTGTTTGTTTCCTTAGATCTAGTCTCAAAATACCAAATTATTCCTTGATAGGTTTTGGCAGTTTTTTAAACAAGACTTCAAACTCTTAAATAAACTTTTGTCTGCTGGTAAATCTTAAGGAGTTTGTTGACCTCTATTTTTCATCCTTGAATGGCAGTCAGCATATCAAGATAAATCATTCTACAAATTTTTTAAAGACATTTTAGAGCCCGATCAAGTTTTTTATAATTTAGGATGGATTTTAACGTTAATTACAAACATTTTTGAACCTAGAATTATAATTAGGTAAAAGTCTTTTAATGGTATGAATCATAAATTTCATATTTTAGAAATATGCGGTCAGTTTTTTTTTCACTGATTCGATACACGATCCTACAAGCATATAGTATCGAGACTATCAACTTTAAATAAATATTATGATGATATTGTTTGTGGTCTGTGATCTGCTCGAGAACAGATGCAACATGGAAACTATTTGCTATCCACTAAAATTAGAACGTTTACCGCATTAACCTGGAACAGAATTTTTTCAGGAGAAATGTACTTACATTAAGGAACGACCAGGCAAATGATTAATGGTTTTCGGGCGGGTTGAATGGCTTAAACGGAAGAGATAGGCGAAGTACTATTCACCTCCGAGCAGTCAAAGAGGAACAAAGTAACCGTTTCAAAGAAAGCATTTCATGAAATGAGGGTGTTGTTCATGATTAAGAGTGTGAAATCAAACTTACCGTAAATTATATTTGTTTGATGTTCTGAAATAATAACTTTCACACTCACACATTACTAATCTTAACTACTCGGCATCACAAGAATAGAAATCGTTATCTCATGGGTTCACCTCCCTTATAGGACTGACTTTTTCAGGATTTAGTTTCACTACTGCTTAAGGTAGTGTTCATTACTGCTAAGATCGCTCTCTTCTTTTTTTTCTATTTTTTGATAATCCGTTTTTTAAACATATTATGTTTAAACATATGTTATTCATTAACACGTCACTTCACGGGTTTATCACAAACCATCAAAACTAACAGCTCCCAGTTGGCTTGTTCGCTAAGTTGGAAGAGCACTGCACCGATAGCGCAGTAAATATGCTAAATAGAACGTGATTCAGTTATAATGTACGGGTATATGGGTGGGTGATAAATGCAGTGTAATGATATTGGCTGAGTTCATTTTGAGGTCCATAAAATCGTAAAAAAAAAGGAACGAGACTAATATCCAGCCATGTTGACCGATTAACAAATAAAGAGGCCTTGACTGTGTTGTGTTCTGTTGCGTTGTAAAGCGCTCAGGAAGAGGCTAGAGCACGAAATAAGAGTATGGGGAAACACGATACGTAATCGAATGTTTCTCCCTATCCTTTGAGGGATTCTTTCTTTGTTTTACAATAAATAATCCGTCAAATTCCCTCACTTTTTTTTTTCTGTTTTCAAAACATATAATTTTTGAAGCGAACAAAAGTGTTGTCAGCATATTTTATACTCTCATAGAACACGCTAAAATGATCCAATTAAAAGTTTTTTAGAATGGTTCAAATAATCTGATATGTTGAAAAAAACTAAAACTGTCAAAAATGTCAACGCATACACAATCTGAAATAGTTTGGTAGGTGGAATTCAACACCAGTCGAATTCACAGGAACATGATGAGCTAACCGCGATGGACCACAGTATGATCATAGTCGCCCTGACATCCTTAATAAGTATAAATTTTAAACGGTAATGCCAGTTTTTCAATTTTTCAATTATGGCACTTGGCGTGTTTGCAAACGTTTGTTACTCATGTGCCAAGTTGGCATTGTTCCCCTTCGTAATTGACATGCACCAAAAAGAGTGGCCTAGAAACCGATAATCAAAAGTTATTCGCTCCTGTGAAAAGATGTTCGCTCGAAATGTTAGCTATAGAACTGGTAATTGGAGGTCTGTAACCCTTGTCTTAAACAGTTGGAATGCCTTTTGTTTATGGAAATCTATTGAATCCTGTTTGTCTTGCTTAGCTTTATTCCGTTTGATGCATCATCCCCTGGATTTTTACCTCCATTAACATAACTCCATTCTGAAACGGACCTTCCATTGCGGATGATAGTGAGGCAGTTTGATTCAGAGGCGTGAAAGCCTTTTAATCATTCTTTATACTCTTCAGTACTAAGTCAGAGTCCGTCCAGTTATTCAGCCCATTGCTCTCAATCTTGAGCTCTGAATTAGACGACTCAACTTCACTGAAATCGGAGATGTATGACTGATCATGTCACATGCAGCATGCATTTGAGATGATTTGTGGCTGTTTATTCCTTACTGCTCAAAGTGTTTCGGTTTAAGGGAATTTTACTTTTTCAACGAATTTGGTCGAGGTCTGTATTAATGACAATCAGTCCTGTATGCTTTTTGGAATATCTTCATCTTGACAGACATACATACATACAGGTTATTAACGTGAGTTCACTCTTAGCTAAATAGCTAGTTTACAAGCAAGCTCACAAATTAAATACGTACATGCGGGAGAGGTCGATTTGACTAATTATGGTTTCAAAATACTTGTAGCTAGTGACTGCTCGCAGATTGAGTGGTAACGTGTTCCATAATTGCGCTGCCTTAGAACGTCAGGAGCGTTGTTCATATGTGGTGCCATTTACTTTCGGTAAAGTAAGAATATTTATACCTCTGAGATTGTAGCTCGATTTTCTCCAGTCATTCAAACCTAACAGACTTCCAGGGACTTCGTTCTAATCTTCATTACTAATCCAATTAACTGTTTTGCAAAGGCGGTACTTGAATAGTCTTTGACTTGCGGAGTTTTTTTCTCCGCCTTCGCCTAACAAGGTCTGGTATGAAGAGCTGTGACCACGCCAAGCAAACCGAGAGATAGAGATTACTTGTTTAGTTTCTCAAGTTAGTTTTTTCAAGTTCTTTCTGTTACTCACTCACTGCAAAAGTGCCAAGACTCTGAGAAGTAATTGAAGTGTGGCATAATAAATGCTTCATAAAGTCTCTTACGAGCGTGAAAAGAAAACATCTTCATCCCATTTACTTCGGTAGTCTGTTAACCAACTATGCGGCATATTTGAGCGATATGGCTCCCAACCTTTATCTTGTTATCGGCTTTTACGCCCAAAGTGATCAATGTGTTCTTCTGCCCCGTCCTCTATGGTCTTTCCTAAAGCTATTGCCTTGTATTTCTCTTCGATTCTTTTCGCCTTATTTCCCGCGTGCCATCTTTCGCATGGCTTTCTGAATTTCTGTTTTTATCAACTTCGACCCAGGTGTATTGCGCTTTTTGTATTTACTGATGGAGACATGTTCGTCGAGAACTTGGTTGCATGAGCTTTCTCTACAGTAGACCTCATCAGGATCTTCAAATATATAAGATACTGAAAAGGGATGCAAGCTCAGATCATACAAGAATAGCTCCAGGTTAAACTGTTTGAATGATTGTTTGGTGACGATTTCTGGCCCCTGACACCTACGTTCTCCTTTTCTGCGTGCACAATGTTTAACATTTTTAGTTAGCTTCTGTTTTGGCGTTCAACTTCCTCGTTGACTTGGGGCCTCAAAGTTGTGGAGGTTTATTGCTGTAAGCAGCTTAATTTTTAAATATTTTCAAATTCCTCGGACGTGAATTGTGGCCCATTATCTGTTATTAGCGACCGTGGGAGACTATGCGTATAAAATGTTCTCTCAAGACTTTTAATAATGTCAGCAGGTGGTATAGACTTGAGTATGTCTTCTTCAAATTAGTGGCTATAGTAGAGGGTTGTCCAATAAACAAATCGATTCCTTCGGAGAATATATGCAATTGGCTGGTTGGCTGGCTCCAGGTCCTCAGCAGGAATTCCAGACTGCATGTCGTCCGACCTAAATTTCCAACTTTTACAGTCAAAGATGAAGCATGACTGTCTCGGTTTAGTTACATTTCCCAGCTGTTGTTCTTCTTGTGGTGCAAGCCGAAAATTCAGCTGCTTACATACATCTAGGTCTCCTTGCTCGAGTCTTCTATACGTTAAAGGAACCGCCGTTCTTAGCACTAAACCCGCTTTTCTGGCCGATTGTTCAAATTGGTCCCTCTGGCATTCAATACACTGGCCGACAACGTGCTTCAGTCCCAGCTTGCAGTAATTTTTCTTTAGCTCTTATCAAGTTTTCTTCCTTATTCAACTTTTGCCGAGGTCTCAGTTGCCAGTTGCTACCTTCCTTCCTTCTTTTTCAACTTAATCGAAAGCTTCGACTCATTCGAAAGCTGTTGCTGCGGAAATCTTTGATCGACTGTGTGGAATAAAACACTTTGGAAAGCCTCAAACCTGGTTTTCCTTTCAACAATATGAAAGAAAGATCCAGGTTTACTTTCCGTTCTAGTTTCTCATGGTAACTCCAATGAAATCTCTCTGTTTTGCATCAGTATCATAATCTACATCAGATAACTTATCATGAATGTCTTCAAACCTGAACGATTCGGCTAGACTCGGTAAGGTCAGAACTTCTCCGAAAAAATTGATCAGGAAACAAGCTGATAAAGTGCCTTCAGTCTCCAGATCTTTTTTTATCTTGTATTTTCGACCTTACCAACTGTTTTGCCCCGCAGACTTCTGAATATCCAAATCTAACAGCCAAAGGTTCATAAACTCAGTGTTAAGAGAACACGATTCGACAATGACAGATTTAGAGTGGCGTTTACCATACTTTTAAGATCTCTCATTTAATAATGAAGTTGCACGAAAAGTAATAGGACCCCAACGTGCATCAAAATAGGCCCACTATGAATGCTGCCCCCAGTATTATGTCATAAAAGTTTGATGGCACCGATGTACACTCTTCGTTCAAGTGCACAATACTTTAGAGCTTAAGCGTGGACCCCTTGATACTGAGTCCAGCGCACTATCCACAAAGACGCATGCGTCTCTCACTGAGCAACCTAAGACAAGTATGTATGTATTATTAGTGATTACTAGAAATGTTACCATTATTATATTTTCATCAATTGTTATTATATGGCTGATCTTTGTCTCCCCACTATTTCACAACTTTCTCTCAACATTACCTTTGGAGAGGAATTTATTAGAGTTGTAATTTAATTACAATGCGATAATTGTGATAAAATCGCACAATCATACACATTGACTTTATCTCAAATCGTTATTTCCCAGTGCCTCCAGAAATTACTGAACCGCCACAACCAAAGACTCTGCTTACCCTTGGACAAAACCACACTCTGACTTGTAATGCGTCCGGTGAGTCTCTACCAAATATAACTTGGACGAAAGATGGTATTCCCGTGGACAAATTTAATGTGATAGGATATCACTTTCATTTGATGAACGTGAAGAGGGAGGATGTAGGATCATACAGATGTACAGCTAGTAATGGATATGGAGATGATGCCACAAGTGTCAGCATAGTTGGCATAAGATATAAGCAGTCTTTCCTGTATTATCAAGGCTGTTTCTCTGATTACATCAATGCCTTTGCAAATTGATCATGCTTTAAATTGGGACAGGCACAATTGCATTTTGATTCATGGTTCAATTTTTCCAGCACATTATAGAAAAGTAGTTTTCCCTTTCAGTTCCCGTAATCTGATCTCATTATAGTTCAGACTTTGTTTACATTTGTAACACGTGAGTTTGATACAGATACCGGTACCTGTGGGTGGATGTCTTTGTGAATGCGTTTTTGTCGGCGGTGCACTGACCTTCATAAGGTTCAAGTTTGATTTGTTAATGTGAGCGCCAAGTATTGCACAGAAATTTTTGTGTTAAGAAAAGGTTTTGCACGCGATAATTACCTTTCTCTTATCACTCAAGAATAAAGTCTTGAAAATTCTGGGAATATTTTTTCCCGCGCTTTGTTTCAATGGCTGGTTGGAACAGTTTGGTTGCCAAACGAGTCTGATTCAAAACCTTTTGCCTCAGAAGAAAATACAGAAACACAAAGATTGTAAAGACATTTTTTTTCTTAAAACGTTCTCCAACTCGTGAAACATACTATTTGTAAAAGTGCGTGAAGATAACCATGTCGTTGGGGCAACTGAGTGTATCCGTAAAGGGATCACGCTCTTGGAAGAAAGTATTTTTCAAGTTTTCCAAGAAGTTGAATATTCAACGGAACAGTAAAAGATCACGGAATTGCTATTTATGCATATCAAACTCTTTCCCCAGTGCGGCGAACATTTGTTTTTCTCGGTTCCAGGTGTACGCAACCACTAGCCCCACGTAATGCGCATGCTCTCCGTTACGAATTTTCAAAATGGCGGACAGGTCAAAGAGGGAAATCAAAAAAACAAAGCGATTTTGCAATGAATTCTCAATATACACCCTCGTTAGAGAGGCGAATCCACGGAAGAAAGATACAAAACTGTATGATATTGAGATCGATATGATATTAAATCGATACCGAGGGCCCGTTTAATTGCCTTCCGCCACGATTATTAGCTTTCTTGACAGCTTTCTGAAGACAGAATACTTTCTTCCTGAAGACTTCTGATATGCGGCTATTGATTATTACACCTCGTACACCTGATTGCTCAAACACTTTGTTTACGATTGTTTAAAGGACCGACTCATGGTTCTCCGTCTTCGTCTTGACATTGCTTTGAAATAGTATAGACTAGTAAGCTGAAACGAAAAATTAATCAGGGAAGTTTACGAAAAATCCAGCAAACAAGCTTTAAAAAGGCAATTATTTAGATTTCATACTTCAACGAACTTCACAAATCTTACTTGTTTATCTTGTAAGTAAACGATGGCAGATTAATTCCCGAAGCGCTTTCTGAGTTTCCCGATCCCTCTCCTACTGCTTTCACGCTTACAAAACAGGAAATATCAAAAGGAGGAAGATACAGCTGTTTTGAAACACCATTTGACGAAGGTAAATCTGCTTTTTGTTTGACACTTTACATATCAAAACAAAGGAAATTTGTTCCTCTTTTTGATTCTGGCGGTACATTTTAAATTTGCGCCTGCGTAAAAGAGATATCGCCCGAGACCCTTCGCTCGGTCGTGTTTTGATCAAAAACGCCTTGTTAATTTCACGCAACCGCTCGGAGAAAAGGTAAAAATGACGAGGGAAAAACTTTATCTTCAAGTTAGAAAATTAGCGAAATAGAAAGCCACAATATTATAGTTTAATATTTCAGAGGTACATTGAGTGCTTTTTCCGTAGAGAATCCGCACGATGGTAAAACATTCGAAAATTACACTCGATTTGAGTGGGGTGTTGAAGTGGGCGTGGTCACTACATTCATGTTAAGACTATTTGTACCCCATGAGTTTGATATGAAAGACGTCTCTGTTCTTAGCTTGATATCAGCAATGGTCATTATTGAGTGTTTACTGACAAAAAGGTGGAATGTGTGCTAATTTATAATTTTTTTATTTTGTCGCACTGTAGGTAATGATTGTAAAATTAGGATCGTTAAATTAGCATTACAGAGTGAAACCTGGAAGTCAGCCTTAAATAACAAAGAGTCAGTTGAGTTCAAAATATTGCAGGCAAAATTGTCATCAAATGTAAGTATTCTGCAGCATTTCGCAAGTACATTGGGTGACCACTTTAGGGCAAGAAACCTTTTTATTTAATATGTTCACCATTCTCTGATGTTTGAGCGTAAAATTCCCTGTAAAAAGAATTTGCGTATTTTTAAGATGTCATAATGAACCTGGCAAACCTATGGAAGCTTGTGTACTCGATACTTTTTTTTCGAGGTAAACGAACCTTTAAGTTTAAAAAGTTCGATTTTTTTGGATTTCTTACATTAGGTAGTAAACCAAAAATGCAGAAACGATGTTTTTTATTTAGGATACTCCCAAATAGGTTTAGAGATCATATCTTAATAGCAATGGACAAGTTACAACGATGGCTTGGAGAAGTGGATTAGTTACACATTATAAATGTGTAAATTTAACTCATCAAGTGAGAGAAGTGTTCTGTAAGGTTTAGGGCTGCGAGTAAAAAATTATTGTCTCAGACGATTGGATTAGAGCATGGTTTTTTGCTTTGCGTGAACATTTGAATTCTGAATTTTAGCGTTTTTAGAGTTAAAGATAACTCTTGCTCTTGTATTTAAGATTTCTTCAGTTTACACCCAAAATCTTGGAAAACAGCTGTACACAATGAGTCTTGTTGAATTTAGGTAAATGTCAAACTAAGAACGCTCGGTGTTTACATATTTTAATTGTCTTGGAGCAGTCGCTTTGCATCTTGTAATCCTTTAATATTACAGGATGTAGTAAACTTTAACGGTTTACAGTTTATCGACGTGTTTACAAGTATTTTGAGATATACCGTATATATATATATATATATATATATATATATATATATATATATATATATATATATATATATCATGGTTAATTTTGAAACATCGATCTTCAATAGAATGATGTTCATGGAAAAGATGAAAATGTGCCAACCGTTTGATATTATACAAACAGCTTTTATCAGCGAGTTTTATTTCTTTAAATAGAGCTGGCAGTGTTGTTGCCATAGTAGAGCTGAAGTTTGGAAAATCTGTCAATGACCCTTTCAAACCACTGAAAGATGAAATCAAAGATGGAAAGCTTGGGTCATTTATAGTTGGGCCTGAAATTGAACTCTCTTCAACCACCGGTAAACCAAATGGGTTAAACATATTCGAGTATATAAAGGATATTACGCACTGCTAGGAAATGCGAATTTTACCTGGAATGTTGATAAGATCTATCACATGTTCGCTTCACTCACTCGTGAGAGACATTATTCACGGGAGATGATAAATTCGTATCCACAACTGCACATTTAATGTCCCGTTTAATGTCCCGTTTTAGTTGGATACATTTATGTCAGATGTAATGGAGAGCTCTCTTGCACGTAAGAATAATAAATAGGCACGCGTAGATATGGAATTTCTCCCTGCGTGTTCAACTCGATATCTGTTGAGTTGAGTTAAGCAAGCTTTTTATTGAGAAAAAACCAAAGGTTAAAGGTCTTTCGTTTCTCTTTCATGTAGCTTTGTTGTTATTCTTTTTGTTGTTATACTCAGTATGAGTACAAGTTGTACTTATATATTTATATTAATTATTAATTTTCAGTCGAATCACATCTACACATCTACTCACCTTTACATCTAAATATACTTCTATCTGGCTAATAGTATCAATGTGCATTCATTTTGTGGCGTTAAACGTGTAGTATTTATCAATAATTTGTAAATCATGGTAGTGTCGCGCAAGCGCAACTGTTACTGTACAGTTAGCGAGCCCAGTTCACGCACTATCGGAGAAATATGATCGTACTTTCTGGTGTCAGTCAAAATGCACGCAGCAAAGTTTAAAATTCCTTGCTATTTAAGTATCGTTTCGTTCAATTTAATGCTAGTATTAAACCTATTCTTGAGTTGTGTGGTTTTGTTTGGGGAAGCTGTAATGTAGATCTACTAGATGGCATCTTTAAAGAAAACCGTTATTATCGTTAATACCGTTATTACCTTGCTCTCTAAGTAATCCTGTCGCCTTCTGCTTGTATATACCAATAATATGAAGCGAATGTTATATTTTGTAATATTGTTAAACGGTGTAACAATGTTTATGATTTAGTCTACTTTTCTACCGTGAATAAATTTAAGGGAAGTCCGCGCCTTACAGCTTGGGAATTTATAGAATATTTAGTTATTTAATCAATTGAAATTTTATTATTTTCATAGTTGTGTGGTTTGTAAATTGTTATTTATAGGGCCATGAAGTAGACTACAGTCCTTAGCTGTAATTATGCACCCTTTCCAAACAAAGTGAGATAGATAAAGACTACGAAACACACTTCAAGAGCAAACTCTAGTTTCCTCATAAAATAGGGAAATGTTAAGGCGGGGAAAAGTTCACATCATGAAAATGGTAGAAAGGGTGCTTTCCCCCAGGTTGCAAAGGAAATAGCTTTGAATATCAAAGGAAGGACAGACAACTGTTGCAATTAATAATTTAGCACAGGGATATGGACAGTTGATTTTTGTTTCAAGAAATTGCCAAATTGTGTCGGTAAAAATAGATCTGAGGTGTTCGTCTTGCTTGTTCGTGGTGCATGTTAAGGAACGGCCATTTTAACGACTCCTACCTTCTAATATGCTTTTTGACGTTGCCACTCAAGTTGCCACAGGCATTGAACAGCCAATTATCCAAAGAAGTATCCCATGCTGGTGTTAGAATCAAGAATAGGTTTAAAAGTGGAATGATTCATTAGTTTTTCACTGTATAGCTGCAATTGAAGGAATTGAAAAAGAGAATAGATTCGACAGTTTCTTTTTGGTTTTATTTTTTCATAGAATACTTTTACGTCCTTTTGTAAATAAAATGCTCCCCAATCAAACAGAAAGGATCTCCTGTCAGAACTCTAAATAACAACTGTTTATTCACAACTCAAATTCAAATGAAAGGTGAAAAGGAGACAAAATAAGTTATACCTTTCAAGTTTGTCTCGTAAAATAACCAAAAATACAAATTTACTTCAGAATAAAATTCCTAATGAAATAGTTTCAAATTCCCTGAAACATTAGTAATATGGCATCTGAGTCTGTTCTTGAAAATGTTCAGAGTTTGTGCCTCCGTAACATTGTAACGATAGGATTTTTAGTTATCGAGTTCTTTCATGCTTGCGCTTAAAAAAATACAATATTCAACGTAGAAAGATTAGTTCAGCAAAGCGTAAACGCTACCAGTTCTCCTTCAGCCACCCGTAAACAGTTATTATTAGTGTTAAACTGTAACAGCCACCTGTCATGTCCTTTTGTGTAACTGTTATCCACCGGAACTCTTTAAAAGTAATTAATGTTGTAAAAGGCGAAATTCCTGCTTAGCCAATAGTGTAGTAGATTACATGATTCTTTAGATTATTCATGGCATTACGTTATCCATGTACGTTAGGTTTAAATAGGACTGTTTTGTAAAGCTTAAAAAGAAAGTAGTAAGAGGAGGAGAAGAGAAGAGAAGAGAAGAACGGGGGTTGAACCAGCCCTCGCCAGGTCCGCTCTGGTCAAAATTGTAGTAGAGCTTGCAGAATAAATCTACGTTGGAGCCAACCCTGTTGTTGTTAGTCATTCTCTCAAGGATAGTCAGCAGCCGTAATAGATTCCGATTCCTTCCCGCAGCCAGCGAGTGCCCCCAAGGAAAGCCTTTACCCAGAAAGAGTTTTTAAGAGTTGCCCCCGTCCGTCCGTTTATTTGTGAAGGCAAAACTCTGTTTTCACAACATCTTTATGGAAATTATTCCATTAATTGACTATATTTATAAAGAGAGAATACTTAAAACTATTTAGGTTCGTGGGCAATGGTTTAAGTTTATGGCGATGATTGGCTCTAAACGGTTGAAAATCATGTGCAAGCGTAAAATAGTCAAATGGATGTAGCCTTTTTAGACTGTGAACCGTCTTGTAGCACTCGGTAAGCGAAGAAAATAATCTTCTCTGATGTAGAGTGGCCATTTAAGGAACTTAAAGCGCTCTTCACACGACGTATCTCAGCCAATGTTTCTGAGGGTAAATCTACATGCTCTACGTTGTTCTTTCTCTAAAATAGCCGAATCCTTTTTGAGGTGTGGAGGCCACACTAGATAGCAATACTCGAGTATTGGACGTACTAAACCCTTGTACAGTTTCGAGAACAATTCAGGGTTCCTGGGGCCCACTGTTAGACTTATAAATCTGAGCATGCTGTTTGTCTTGTTTGCACATTTGTTGGTTTACAGGCTCCATAATAGATTTGATGTGATGTGAATTCCAAGATCCTTAACGTTAGATACAGCTTTCATCTGGTTCCCATACAGGACGTAATTCAGGCTCCGAATTATCATTCTTTTCCGAAATGCGCATTACCTCGCATTTGTCGGCTTTAAACCGCAGTTGCCAATCATTGCTCTAGGACTGCAATCGGGTAAAGTCCCTCTTCATTTCAGCACTCATTACACTTTTATGTCATCTGCAAAGAGTTTGGTTTGTGATGTAATATTTCTTGGAATGTCATTAATGTAAACAAGAAATAAAATGGGACCCAACCCAGTTCGCTGAGGTACGCCAGACTAAACAGAAGTCCAAGATGAATAATCTCTATGCAGAGCAACTTGCTGGTACTGATCTGTTAAAAAAACTTCTAAGCCAAGGCAGAAGTGAACCTTAGATAAGTTAGTAATCTTGTGGTTTCCGTTCCAATTATTCATCGAGACTCAGCGGCCAGAAAAGTGCAATGTCAAAGTGTCTCTCCGTGTATTTTAAGGCGAAATTTGGGGTCACAGGGCAACACAAGGACAGACCATATCAATCAGAAGAAGATGGATCGGGGATTCAATGCGCTTTTAAAAGAGCTCCCGTTCCAGCACACTTCTGTTTTGAATAAGAGCATGTCAATTTGTATAGTTAATGTTTTATTCTATATTACACTTATTGTATTATGTAATTTTTATTTTTACTGTCAGTGGTTGCTATGTGGCCCAGCCGGTCTAATTTAAATGATAAAAGTGAGAAATATTTTGCTCGATAAATTTAATTACACTTTTGACGAATATTGAGTCTCGGGCACCAAATTCGACGTGAGGGAAGACAATCTCCATAATGATGATGATGTGACTCCTCATGGATGAGAGGGAACCAGGAAAGAGGAAATGTTAGTCTGGTGACTTCAGCTCTTCGACCAGAAATGATTTTTATCTCGCCACAATTACAAATTTTTACTTCAACAATTAGTACCTAATTTTTGGTGTTTTGCGACGTTCTCATGGAAGCTGTTGAAGAGACAGTTGGAAATTAAGCGGATGTTTGTTAACGCGCGCGAAGACAGAAGGATGTGGCATAGCTTCGGAGCTGAACCTACTTAGTGGAGCTTCCTGTGGAAGAGAAGCGGAAAACGGAGAAGAATGAGCCAGACGAAGATAACTCGAGTATACTTTTTTGAAAGCTTGAAACACTTCCTGGCTCGTACTCGCCACCATTTTGCTTGCGGACATCTTTAGAGAACTTGCCAAGGAGTTTGTTGAGAGCAGCAGCAGGTATGTTCATCACATTAAAATTTCCATCGACCTACTATTCGTAAAACCCTTCAAACTTTTTCCACTCGTATTTCGTGTTCTTCGTAATGTCTGACGACCCTCGGCAGCGATGAAATCATCTGGTTCTCGAATCGAGTGCAGTCTTCGTCGTGCTCGTCTTTCTCCCTTTCGTCGCCTGTCTTCCTCCAAAATCTCTAAGAAACCAATTCGAAAGACTGAAATATTTGCTTCTGAGTTTTTGTTCGTTTTCTTCGTCTGCGCACTTTTCCTTAAGAAGTTTTTCAAACTTTACTTCAAGAGACATTTTGATGATCAAAACAAACTTTTGAATTTAGTGGGCCGTACAGTGAAATACGGACTAATCCTAGCGCACTTACTAACTGAGAGACATAATAAAGGCATTGATTTAAAAGGTTAAACAAATAAGAGGCTTTATATGTAAAGAACGATTAAGTGGCAGTATCGTCAACTGGATACGGAAAATCGTTGCTTTTACAGGTTTTGTATCGATCTGTTGTAGAGGATAACGGACGCAGCCTGCACTTCTTCAAGCACGATTTGTAAGTCGTTAATCCAACTGTTTCCCCGTTAAACACCCTAACAGACGACCATAAAGTTTCAAGCTTGAGAAATAATAGGGTATGAACAACGAAGTTAAGGGTTGGAGACGCCTTTTATTAAAAGGTTACGAAGCAATTAGGTGACTTCAAAGACGTTACCAGAACTGTTGTTTACTGAATCGAACCAAAGTAACTCACGAACAAGAGTTTAGAATCTCTTGTATCGAATCACCACCGTAAGAACTAAAATGAAAGGTGCAGAGGAATTTCTAATAAGGTCTAGAAAATACCGAACTACAAATACACTTCAGGTGTTTCAAAAGTCACATAAAATAAACCACACACTTGAAAGAAAATAACGATAAACGATTTGGTGTACAGCCTCCTTCGAAAAATCTTTAATCTTTAGGTGCAGACCGTGTCAGCGAGGAAATTATACAACGAAAATAATGTTACAAAAAGCGTGATTAAATATGCCGCTAAAGCGTAAAAAAAAAATCATTTGTGTTGGTTAATTTCGTTTTACCCTTCGTGTTAGTATTGACAAAAATATTTTACTCACGAGCCCCTTCAATCGAGTCTCACATATTTTTGGAGACATGTTACCAACCGTAACCGCGGTATTTTCATTGGGAAAGAAAGAAAAGGATCGTGGGAGTCAGGTTACATCAGACACTCCATGAATGTTTCTTTGATAGAATGCGGAAAAAAATTATCTCGACCAATTTGGGCTTGTGAAAGGATAATGGATCTTTCTCTTACTTGTGTTTTTCGAATGGTTCTAGTCACACTTTTATTCTGTTCCGGAATTCAGAAGTCAGGTAATGTTCATCGAGTTACGATTATATAGATTCTAGTTTTGTTCGCAGTTAGAGATAAAGCTATTAAAATAATACCACACGTCTAAAAACATCCTTAAATATTCATGCACATGAAATTAGAAGTTATTGAAGTTACGTCTGATGCGTTGATGTTTAATATAATGTTTTCTGTTTTCCTTCTTCAGAGTCCGCATTCAGAATCAGCCAGAAACCTTCCAATCCTACTACTGTGGTGCTTGGAGTAAACAGCAGCCGAGCCACACTTGTGTGGCGGTATTCTGATGCACCAAGTCAGTATTTCGTTCAGTTTTGGAGACAGAAAACTGGTGAAAAAATTAAACAAATATCATCAAGCAAGGATGGGAATGCGTTCGACCCGAGCAACACAAATGAATTCGATGCCTCGCTGGATGCAACACTAACACTGAAGAACGTGGAGAGAAATGAGGAATACACCTACTCTATCTATTTGCTCGATTCTAGTGCCAGAGAGGTAGAGACACACGCAGTTTCTATTAATGCGGTCGGTAAGTGAAGCTGTTTCATGAGTTGCTTTGATACACTTTGTCTTATATCAACAGCCATCTCTCAGTTTGCGTGAAATGCGAGTTTTTTTATTGGAAACTACAAGGTTTAAATTTTCGGTAGAGAAATGTCATAATGCACACAGAAACTCAAATTATCACTACACCGTACGTCTTTCGATTAAGCACAGTTGCACTTTAGTGCCTCGAGTTTCTTGTTGCATTTTAGCGGCGATCAATAGAGCCATCCTTTTATGTAGTCCAAGCAATGCTGGAATTCTTATGAATTGGTCGTTAAGTTACCTTTTAGTTTTCTGCTGCTTTAACTTGTTTCTTTGACAAAGATTAATAATTCAGCTTTCGCTTGGGTTATATGTAAATGTATTCTGTGTTATCAATATCACTCAGGCGCGCAAAAAATGTTCGTAGTGCAGCAATTCACGCAGATAAAGACTTCTTGATAACCTTTAGCGTGATTTTGAGGCTACAAGCTATTCGCTCTGACAAATAGCTAACCCTTGAAACGTTGCATGTAGATTCTCTTTACGGTGGCCAGTTTATCAGCATAGTTGAAAGAAACCAAATTATCTTGTACAGATCCCCTGCCCAGATCCCCCTGTACAGATTTCTGTAGCTGTAAAAGTTTGGAATCACCTTGACAAAAGCATTAAACGCCTAAAAACATTTAAAAACAAAGTCAAATTAAACATCTTACAGACTTACTGTTCATGAGTTTTCAACTGGTCTCTTCTTCTTCTTTTTCTTTTTCTTATAGTTATTAATTTCTTTCTGTCTTCTTTTTTTTTTTACCAATAATTTGCTTTGCTTAAGCTTTAGTGCCAACATACATCCTATATTTAAACATTATTTACTTTTACTCGGCTAGATTAGCTTTTCAGTTATTCTGAGTAAATGTTACCTTTTTTGTATAAATATATTATGTGTGTAAATTAAGTTTAACTTCTCAATTTGGTAATAAAGCTTGTTGTTGCTGATGCAGCAACACAGTTACTCTAGAAACTTACCCCTCTATTCACAAATTATTTTGGCCTCGTTTTTCGAGGTAATCAAGATTCAATATGGAGATAATTTATGCTCTGGCCATTCTTGTCATTTTTCAGGGCTCTCTCTCCCCCTTTTGACTAAAGCTTAACTAGGAGGTTGTTATCTGCCTTTCTAGAGCAAAAAGTGAAAAAAAAAACTCTCACATGCATTATATGGAAATTGACAGAAGACAAACATAGGGGCATTTTAGGTAGGACAGCTTTTTTTTTTACAATATTCAATAAAACATACAGGCACTTGCAAAAGATCTGTACATAAAGGTTATATTCCTTTACAAGAGAGGGACCTCTGGATTCTGTTGCTGTTAAGAAATAGTGTTCTGAGTGCTTTTAAGGTAAAACGAGCTACGTCCAGGAAGATGTCAAAGACGTTGTTGAGAAAATGACCTCTTTTAAACATTTTATGTCTTGAGAGAACAGCCAAAGCCACATGTGGGCTAAGTTATCGATTGAGATGAATGTGCTGTGTTTTGGTAACAAACTTAACAAGGAAATTTGCTGTGGATTTATCTGTACAAATCTTTTTAATTCACTATATCTCTAAATAAGATTATGATGAAGCATTCTACTCCCCAATGTGGCAACTAATTTTCAGAATTTTGTCGCCAAAGTGAAACTTTAGTGGCATTGGCACCTGTATTAGTCGCAATTGATGCCCTGTATTTAAATATTAGAGCATTTCATTTCACAATTCAAGAGTGGAAACATATAGCAGTAACAAGAGTCGTGCAATGCATTTACAGTACATGTGTATACACCTGTTAGATTTTGTTTTCCCTGTGATACAATAGTTACCTAGCTAGTTTCTAGTCTTGAATGTACCTTTCATGAGTATATTATTTAGTAAAAGGATGTGTCAAAATCTACCTGGAATGGTCCACTGTTGATAACTGTCAACTTGAGTTGGTGATACAAAAGTAATCACCACCAATCTTATGTGTCAACATTGTAGAATTTATGAGATTTGACTAAGGTGTCCAATTACAAAACATCTCATAGCATTTTGTTAACCGAGCAATAAACAAGTGACTTGATTGATACCATTGCAATATTGAATTTGGCTCATTTAAGACAAGATAGTGGTAAAAATGTACATAGATTGATGTCGTCAATAACACTTCAGACATGTGAGAACAGAAATATTTTACAGAGGCTGACTTTTTTTAATACAAACATAGTTCTATGATAGGTCTCCACTGAGATTATATGTTCGCCAAAGCAAACTTTTCCTTTTTTCCTTCTTTTACATCACTACTAAGAAACTTTGAACTTAGCTGGAATCGTTTGAGAGCTATTGATTTGGTGACCTTTGATTAAATCAAGCAGTCAAATTCCTACCTGTTTGAAAGCCTCTAAGTTGGCCCTCACTTCCATAATTTTTATGATATTGCTTCCCCAGAGTTTTTATCTAGAATGAGTTTACCTTTTGCTCTGCAAAATCAATAGCAAGAGAACAAAAATCAATGGCAAACTGAATTCAGGATGGTGGTTATTAAGAGCTTCTGAACTTTTATTCTTTCATGACAAGGACATGGCAGGAAAATCATTTGATATAGGGTGGAGAGGGTGGTAATCGATATTATAGGATCACCCCCAGTCTTAAGGTTTCCCGAGAGAGTTTTCTGGTACCAATACGCTCTCTTTGGTAGAGAGAAACACTGCAAGTTAGAGTGTCTCACTCAAGTAACTGATATAGTGATTCATTTAAGGGCTATCTTAGTTGTTATAATCATTGATTCCCTGTTATTTAACAATATTATTTTAACATTTGTAATTCCTTTGAGGGGCAATTGTAATTTTAATTAATATATAGTATTATGCAATAACTGTGATGATATCGCAAAATCTAGATACAATGTATTTATCTTTAATTGTTATTTCACAGTTCCTCCAGAAATTACTGACCCACCAGAGCTAAAGCCTTTACTTGCCATCAGAGAAAACCATACTTTGATCTGTAATGCAACTGGTAACCCTCTTCCCAATATTTCTTGGACAAAAGATGGCATTCCTGTGGATAGGTTTTATGTGACAGGTTACCAGCTTGATTTGTTTGACGTGAGGTTGGAGGATGTAGGATCATATAGATGTACAGCTAGTAATGGATTTGGAGATAATGCTACTAGTGTCAGTATTGTTGGCATAAGATGTAAGTAGTATGTCTTGTTTATTTGATTAATTACGGCAATGCATTTGTAAATTGTTTATACTTTGATTTTAAACAGACACAATGGTGTTATGATTCATGTTGAACTGCAAAATGGCACAGTGGTATGGAATTAGCACAATATAGAGAAAAAGTATTTACTTTCTCTCCTGTTGAGATGTCAATACTATATTTTTGTTAGATTGTCTTAGTGCTAAGCATAAAGGTGTCTGTCTCTGTGAAACAGTTTTGTTTTTTTAGTATTTATGCACTTACTTTAACAGAGATCAAAGCTAGGTGTGTTATGTGGGCGTGAATTATCAGTCGATAAGCTTTTTTTAAATGGCTAATTTTAACAATTTGGTGACCAAACGAGTAGGGTCTGAAAAATGTTCCCTTCAGAACATTCTTCAACTCTTAAAAAAAATCACCAGTTGAGGGTATAAAATGGTTAAAGCAAAAAAAATAATAAATAAATGAATAAAAGTGGCAACTGGTATTGAAAGTCTTGTTGCCAACAGTCCATTTTCAGTGGCTTTGGCAACCAGCTGGTCACAATTTGAGACACTACTTTATTTTTGATTTGTAATAATGATAAACTGATTTGCATGCTGTATGTTACTGAGAGAGGTAAGTTTACTAGGCACAATATTTTTCCTTACTCTTGCCTTTGCATGAAGCCAATGTTAAGTTGCAGTTTAACCCATCTCAAAGGGCAAACTGAATATCCGATTGTTTTTTATATATGTCAAGAGGTCAAAGCGTGAAGTTCAATAAAAAACAGCAATTTCAACTGTTTCCAAAACATGCCATAGTTTTTTTTTTTCACTTTATTGCCAGGGGTGGCTATGCAATATGTTCAATATCAGCAATGGTCAACAACATTTAACTAATAATATCTATTCATGAATTCTAATTTTTGTTCATCACACTTTAGGTAATGATTGTTTAAATAGGAGCATTGGAATAACATTACTGAGTGAAGTTTGGACTTCAGCCTTAAATAACAGAGAGTCAATTGAGTTCAAAATATTGGAGTCAAAGTTTTTATCAGAAGTAAGTATCCTGTTGCCTTTATTAAGTAAAATCCTCCTTTTATCTAATCTGTTCACCTTAGAGTGGTGATTTGCAAATTATTGATGTTTGAGTATAAAATGCCTTGTAATTCCTCTCTTCGACTACTGGCTGACTTATTAGCATCCCTTTTATCCATTTAAGATGGTGGCATTAATCTTTGTAGTAATGATTGAAAAAAAAAAATTTCTTTTCATAGCTCTGCTCTTCATTCAGCATTCGTGAAGGTTTTCCTTGCTATGAGTTACAAGGATGTTTGAGTTACAAGTAAAACAGACTTTTGAACTGTAATAAATTAGCTGACAAACCTGTGGGAACTAGTAGACTTGATGCTCTTCTTTTAAGGCAAAGTACATCTAACTTAAAATTAAATTTAGATACTTGGATTTCAATTTTTGGTTTCTTACATTTGATAGTTACAAGTAAAACATGAGGAGAGATACTGTTTTTAACTGCCACAATAGGATACTTATACACTTTAATTACTTCTAAAGCAGGGTCACGTGGAATAAATCTTGGAGTTTTGCGATTTGATTGTTCTCCTGTCCTCTATACATGTCTGATGACATTCAGAGATCAGGTCCCAATAGCCATAGAAATTTGTAAATTTTACCCATCTAATTGGAGAAGTGCTGTGAGCCTAAAACTATATACTCATATGAGCAGATGCGATCAAGGCTTTCTCACTCTGCATGAACAATTAAATTGTACGTTTAAGCATTTTTAGCATTTAGTATAACTGTTGTTCTTATATTTGTTTAAGATTTCTTCTGTCTACACAAAAAATCCTGGAAAACAACTGTACACAGTGGGTCTTGTTGATTTAAGGTAAGTGTCATGATTCACAAGAGTGCTCAGTGTAGGCATTTGTGAAAAAAATGTTTTGAGAAAAGGAAATGGTCCTCTGCTGATATTTCAGGATTTAGTTACAGTATAGAGGTGATCGACATGTATTCAAACATTTTTAGGTATCCATCATGTTTAGTTTTTGAAAAATTAATATTCAGTAGAGTGACGTTCATGGACAAGATCAATAAGTATTAACCATTTGCTATTATGCAAAAAACTTTGAACAGTGAGTTTTTTCCTAGGTATAGCTCCGGTAGTGTTGTTGCTGAAGTAGAGCTCAAGTTTGAAAGATCTGTTCTTGATCCTTTGAAACCACTCGAAGATGAAATCAAAGATGGAAAGTTTGGGTCATTCACAGTGAGCCGTGAACTTGATTTGAATCCAAGTAAGGCCTGTGCTACCTGACAACTAGATTCTATTTTTCCGTTTGTGAGAAATTACAAACTTATCTCATAACTCTGTACTGTTTGTAGGTAAGCTACAGTATTATCAAATCGAGGGTTAAATCTTCAGGCTAATTAGGTTACACGGTATCCGCCGCTTTCGCCCCCTATCGAGTTCGCCCCTTCGGGTTCGCCCCTACTTTATACCGTGTTCGCCCCCACACTTTTCGAGTTCGACCCCATCAAGTCGAGTTCGCCCCTTGATTGAATGATATCCAGATGAGTTGATTCGTAAGTTGATGAGTAAATTCTTCAGTCTTAATTTCATAAATAAAGCTAAACGGGTACAAGTCTAACAACTTAAGCAATGCTGTCGCGATGAAAGCGTGGTTTGCATCTTCTCAAGTCTGGTTGTTACGATCAACACATTTCGTGTTCGTTAGATAAACCGTGTGGTTCTCTTTATCACAAGTTCAGTGTATACAGTTATTTCTGGTAACCCCAGATCCCACGCAGAGTATTTAGTTGATTCCGTCAACCCAGTTCCCAAGCAGGTTCCACGCAATTGCCGAAATTCAAAATGATCGTCGCTGACGTGACATTTGGCACATTCTGCTAGTGCCTTCGTCATAAATCAACTCATCTGGATATCTCTCAATCAGGGGCGAACTCGACTTGATGGGGTCGAACTCGAAAAGTGTGGGGGCGAACACGACATAAGGTAGGGGCGAACTCGAAGGGGCGAACTAGATAGGGGGGGAACGCGGTGCAATTCGGTTACACACATTCAAGTGTATAAAGGATGTTTTATTATATTACTCGCATGGATGCATATACTTTCCTACTTATGATCATGGCGACTGCTTCCGTGTGCCAGTCATCTTCTCTGCCCAAATAGAGTATTGTGTGACCTAAAACTAGTTTCCCTTTCCCTGTTCTTCTTCATCAGGCTTCACTTATTTCAAGGACATCTATGTCGTAGTTTTCAGCCTCTTGCCCAACCCTCCTCCATCCAGGCTTGGGACCGGCCTAGGCTGAGTTAATGTAGTTATCAGTGACCCACATTTATGTCTGACTGAAATTCACTTGCATAGCCACTGAGGCTACAGAATAATTACTCTGACCTCTGGAACAATAAATTTATCAAGGTGTTGTGCGAAAACTATTCTTCCAAAGAAAAATTGAGTTCAATCTTGGTAATTTTCTTAGAAAAAAATGCGGAAAAGTTATCATGATTGTTACCATGACGAAATTAGTAGCCTCCTATGTAACAATATCAATGATACTTTTACTGCATGCGGTGAAGATACCTTGAAGAATTTCTCATATTCTAAGATAAATCATAATTTTTCATGTGCGTTACTTTCTCTCTAAAATGCCAATTCGTGTATATTCAATACTTTTTCCCCTATCTACCAGTAAAGAGAGTAGCGTAAAGATGCGAGACAAAATTTTTATTCTGTTTTCTAAGCTGCAAGTGCCTTAAGCAATTGTTTTTGCCTGTGCGGAATTTTTTTTTTTTTATTTCAAGAAATTATAATCTCGTAGTTCAATATTTTATTGGGTTTCATAAAAATTTGTCTCATCATTGGTTATTCTTTTGCAGCTTCGGTTCCCTTTACAAACTTTACAGCCACAGGTGAGAGACAAAATCCCATTTATTTTCTAATCAATGAACTAAGTGATTATAACCGTCGATTTTCTATTTTTCTTGACATTTTATAAAAAAGGGCTTGCAAATAATTTTGTTCTTTATTGTCGAATAATTTTTTGGTGTTATTTTCACGCACTGTGCGTAAATGCAAATTGTATCTTTCGTTTGTAATAATATCTATCGATGTTTGGCTTCGCTACTCAAGAGAAATTTTATCAACAATTCGAATCCATAACTACGCTTGTGAGGTCCTTTCTACCATGTATATATTCGTTATATACGTGTTTATCAGACTTAATGTAGAGATCACTTGAACGTTCGCGGAGGTTGCAGAATAGCTACTTCAACTTACGACATTAAAAAAAAATCAAAACAAGTATTCGCCCAAGAGAACTTCTGGTATTTCTATTTATTTAACATGCCAACACTTGTTTAGGTACATCTATATGCACCCTTAATATAGTGTGCTGCAAATGTACAAGAAAAACTCGTTTATTGTTTTCTGTTTTCTTAGTTTAACTACCTTTACTAAAATTGTTTACTTTATGCTGAAGTTATAATTATTACAAGAAATACTATTCTCGTAATTTAATCATATTTTATCCTTTGTGCCTTGCAAATATGTTTAGTGATTGCTTAATCTTTTTCCAGCTGGCCCCTTCACAAACGTTACGTCTACAGGTGAGTGAGAACTTTTTTATTTTGAAATTAAATAACTTTTAAACCGTTAGAAATGGCGTGCTTACAACAGAAATTATGGTATTTATCAATATGTTTATTATAAATCGCTATTTCTCATGCTCGTAACCTTGATTTTGACGTACCAATGCTTGCCTAAATACTTGTATATTCAATAAGTGTTTCCATCTGTATCCTTAACAAAGGGCACTGTGAAAGTGCTAGACAAGCTCGTGTCTTTTCTTCTCTTCAAATCAATTAAAATTTTAGTTGTTAAATCGTCGTTTTTCAATTTTACTTGAAACATTGTCGCGCTTTGTGTTCAGCAGATAGCTTCCATTATTGGATCACGCCTCTACCGGTTTCCAACTCAAGATAAAAGAGGCTATTCATATTGAAAAAAAAAGCATCCTTGAACCAACAATTTCACTATGTAAATCTAAAACTATCCTTCACGCTTTACCTCTTTCCTTGTTGTCACCATTTATTATAATTAGCATCTACTTACTATATAAATTCAACTTCCAATGCTTTGTACATTAATTAACTGAAGATGACCGAAGTTTCTGTCGAAACATGTATTACAGACCTAAAAGTTTAGTCGCTTTCCTTAAATACTTGAAAAAACTTTAAACGGAAGCGTTTGTTAATAATCTCATCTTTTTTGTCGTTTAATTAATTTTTAATGCCTAAACACTAATTATTCCTTTCCAGCTGTTCCCTTAACAAGCAGTGTGGCATCAGGTGAGAAGGAACTTCCTTTATTTTCAAAATCTCTAACTATGCAATTATACCCGAAACAAGATTTTCCAAAGGACTTGTGATATGAGTTTTTAGCTCTCTGCTGATTAGTTCGATTGGTCCACCCTACCTTTTACTAAAACCTGCGAAGTAATGGAAAAGTTAATAATTGATCTTTTTCTTAGTATAAAGGTATGGTATGGTTTGAAGGCAACAGTCTATGACCAGTGTTTTTGCAGGCGATCTAGGAGAACTGGGTCTGATAAAGGAAAACAAAGGCTAACTATTAAACTTCACAGAAATAATGTGGAAAATAAAATATCAGAGCAAACCCTGGGGGTAATTGTTCTTGAGAAGACTAACTTTTGAGCTGAATCAGCATTAGAGTTAACTCAGGAATGCAAACCTTGTGCATTTTTTTTCTTTCCTCGTTTAGGCGAGTTTGTTTGAATGCGACACGATACTGCCCACACATAGATCAGTTTTGAATTGTGAACTGCTATGCGAATATTTGTTTTGTATGACGTTGAGTATTCATCCACTAGTGTCATGAAATTTAGTGTTTTTTCTTTGGCATTAAGAGAATGTGACACGATACTGCCCACACATAGATCAGTTTTGAATTGTGAACTGCTATGCGAATATTTGTTTTGTATGACGTTGAGTATTCATCCACTAGTGTCATGAAATTTAGTATTTTTTCTTTGGCATTAAGAGAGGAAAGAAGTGAACAGGAGTGGTAAAGTTGGGTCTAAAAATACTTTTTCTGTTGTTCAAGAGATTCTCTTGGGTGAGATTAAAAATTCACACGGGTGCAAGATAAAGGTGAAATTCACTCAAAAGACCAATCTTTGAGAAAAGAGATAAATATTATAACAGAAAGATGCTGGGTTACTCCATCGCCCCTCTGAACGTACGTAGGATAAGGGCCTCTATAAGAGTTTTATTTTTATTGCTATGTATGTTTACAAACGTGTAGGTTTTTCTCAAGGTGCAGGTCAAAGTGACGATCGTAAAAAGCAAATTATGCATCACGCCATTTACTCGACAACAATATTTCTACTTTTGGTGATTATTATTGTGTTAGTGTTTGTCATTTGGAGAGGGAAGAACAGGCAAGGTGAGACACCTGATCTAATTTTCTCTTTTACTTCTGCCGTAATCCCTATTGGTCAGTAAAGCGGTCAGACACTGTGCATCCGCAAGAGTCTGAAAATGCTATGGCGGACTTCCAAACGCGTAAAGTGAGGAAGAAAAGGTTAAATTTGCAACTATTCCAATACGTAAGACAAGCGAGAGAAGGATTTGGAGAAAGCTCTAATATTGTTATCTTGTTCCAGCTTGATTGTAAAAGATCCCAATTGTTTTAAGTGCGGTTGCTTCGTTTTGGGGCAGAAGGCATAGGACAGAAGCTCTCTTTACCCTTGCAGTTCTTCCTAGTCTACTATCCGCGATAAACATAGATTTCTTATCGTCAAAAATATCTTGTGTGGTTCTGCTTCTTCCTTTTTTCACTAATTTTCCCGGTATTTACCGGTAACTCCAATATGAACACGACAAACAACAACTACTGCAGCACGGACAAGCTTTTGGGCGAATTAATCACACCGCCGTTCTAACTGTAAAAAAGCTATAACAGTGCACAAAGTACTGGAGGAAGTCTGAAACCACAACGTATCTAAGTCTTGGCCCGAGGGACTTCGAACGTTCCTTGTAACCTGCAAAAATCTACGTCGCACGTGGGTTCTCGATATAAAAGCCGTTTTACTAATCACCGTTTGACTGCCGTGATCAGATATTTTCGGTTTCCTGCTCGAGAGAAATTATTTCTTTTTTTTTAAGACTTTCCGTTTTTTTAATTTTAATGTATCCACACCTATAGATGGCAGCAATATGCCCCGTTTAAATTTATGTGAAATATAGAAGAGTTTTACGGTATATTTATTTTC